TTAGTCTGTGGAGTGGATGAATATTATAGGTACATAGATCAGATAGTTCCCTAGACATTTGGTTGTAATCCAAACTTGACCAAAACTTCTTATTACAGATCTTGTTTCAGTGCTTTTATCCCTCTGTCTTGTCTGTGTGCCCCTCTCATTGCCTGTATGAGGGAGAATATGTTAATGCCATTGATCTGTAAACAACAGCAGTGTGAAATCTTTAGCAAATGTTATATGTGTCTGGTTCATCTCCATTTCAAGTCATAAAGTGTTGGGGTTTGGATTTGTTTGTGGTTTTTGAGGGTTTTTAAAATCATTGTTTGTTTTTATTTGTTTGTTTGTTTGTTTATTTGTGGGATTTGGGGTTGTTTGGTTTGTGTTTGGTTTTTTTCTTTTTTTTTTGTGTTCTGGGGTGGTGCTTGGGGTTTTTTGTGGGCTTGTTTTTTTGTTTGATTTGTTTTCTTTCATTGGGTTTTCCCCCTGCCTCACTTTTTATTGCAGCAGGAGGAGCTCAGAGAGGGATTTTGTTTTTTCCAGCTAGAGCAGAGTGTTTCTACATTCTTCATGGTCATAATGAAAGACTGCTCTAGGTGAGGCAGGCGTTGGGAGGGTGTTGAAAGGACCATCAAACTCAGATAAGTGTTTCCAGTCCAGACTCCTCAACAGGAAATATGTCCCCTGTTCTCATGGCCTTCTCATGCCTGTGTAGGCAGGGTGAGAACCCCAGCTCAGGAGGAATGAACTCATCCTAGGAAACTTTACCACAAAGTGCCCAGCACATTTCTTGTGAAGAGGGTAAAGGTTAATTTGGGGTAAAGACCACTTGTAAGCTGTTTCAGTTTCTGCTGGTAAAGTGACAGAGGAGCCTGAGAGCCTTTGGACTTCAAACTCCCCTGTAGCAAAACTTAGCATTTTCCATGGCATTGGACTATGTTCAGCTTGATAAAGCCGTTCTGCAAAGTGAAACAGAGCTGTGCTTTTTAGTTTTTAGCCAACAGACATATGTGTTACAAATGCTCATTTCCACCTCTGGATGTGTGTATTTTTGTGCTCCTAGAAGCACTAAAGGAATAAAAATATTCTAATGACGAATGAAATTAAAACAGTATCTCATTTAAAAGAGTGCTATTTTTATTTATGTTGTGAATACAGACAAATAGTTTTAAATTGCACAGAGAACTCAGTGGCCTAAATTGCAATTTCCTGTTAAAAGAACTCAAATATATTAAAAGATAAATCTGTGTTTTTAGATTATTTGAGTTTACTGAAGTTCATAGTGGGGAAGGATCAAGAAAAAATTTTGTGACTTACAAATTTATCTGCAACTAAGTAGGATCTGTGGACAGGAAAGCAAAAGGAAAACAAGCCACTTCCTGTGCTGAAATGCCCTTTTATCTAAATATCACTGGAAGGTTGCATTCAGGGATTTTTGCATTGCACAAATACCTTTGTTACATCTTGTGTTTGTTGATTTCATTTTCTTGTGGAAGACTTTTCCCTGTTTTGCTGCGGTTACTCACTTACTCAGAATCCTCAGGGAATCCTCAGGGAGTGACAAGTAGATTCTTCAGGCCAAACTTAATATTTTTGTTTTTGTTACTCAAGGTTCTGGGAGAAGGGGATATTTAGCCAGATGATGAGGGGAACCTAGACTTAGGAAGCAGACTGAAGGGAGAGACAGAGCCTCTTTGTGGAGCTGGCACCTGCCCGGTGTGTCTTTGTGGGGAAATAATGTCAGTGGGAGGCAAAGCTTCATATTGGGTGCTGGCATCACCTGCATTCTTTTGCCTTCCCAAGGCCTAGATCCATCCTAGTCCATTCATGGCATGAATGGACTGAAACTGTTGTCAATCCATGGATCTGCAGTAGACATGGTCTGTGTTGCTGCCTCTGTGAGTTTGGCGGGAAGGATCTGACTCAAGGTGCCAAATTCATGGCTTTGACTTTTCCTGTTTTGATCTGTGCGAGATTCAGGACATTCAGTTTCTCATTAAATGAGACAGAATAGTGAAGTGCATGTCAGACTGTAAAGAAAATAGCTCTTAATTGGAGAAGGTCTTAGCAGGGTTTATCTGGGAGCTGCAGTCCTTTGGGCTGATGCTCTGCTCTTGGGCTGCCTCTGCAGCCATGAGTGATAGTTTTTGATCCAGACCTTCACCTCAGACCTGTGCCTGAGTAATAAAGTTCGTTGCATCATCTTTGAAACAGGTGCTGGAGGTGGGTTGCTGGAATTGCTGAAAAATTGGGTTTGAGCCAACATGTCAAATCTAGTTTCACTGCCAAAGTTTTCTATTGTTGGAAGTAATAAATAAACAATAAAACACTCCCTGCATGCTAGTTATACTAGAGATGGTGCTCTTACACAAAAGGCAGCATGTTCATAACTTACCATAATCAGGCATTTCTTCCTTTCCATTATTTTGTCCATATTTATATGGTTAATAAAATGTTAGTTGGAAACTGGGCCATGCTGCAGATCCAAAATACTGTTTCAGCAATATTCAATTTTATGATTTTGTGTATTGTTAAAACATTTTCAATCAGAGAAAATATTTATGAAGATGTTGTTTGAAGAATGCAGTTGGCTAAAGGAGCCCTCTTGATGTTTCAAAATGGATTTTTCAGGAACAAGTACCTTAATTGTTAAGGTTCAGGGAATGGTCCTTACAGTCTGGAGAGCCTTGAGATTCTAAAACTGATTGCAATTCAGTAAGTAACCCACAACTGCTTTTTCATATTCTCTTGGAGATGATGGTAAACTTTCAGTGGTTATGGTTGTTTTTTTTAAAAAGCATTAAGGAAACTGTCACACTCTTTTTTTTTGTTTATTATTCTCTTCAGGTAGATATAGCAGTAGCATTTAGCCTTCCATTGCTGTTGCATTTTTTGCTTTGGTATGTCTTTTTACCTGATCTAATGCCATAAGTCTAGAGCACTATGGCTGTAGAAAAGTACAGTCTCAAAGCAGACTTTGAATCAGTCAGTAATTGGAGTATCCTCTTTCTCTTGCTTATTGATGTGTGAATTGGAAAAATCCTGTTTCCTGCAGTTGTGTAAGGAGTGTCAAAAAAGTAGATGTTAGGCTGAAAAAAGGTTTATTTCATGTTTATTTCAAGGGGTAGTTTGGTAGGAGATTTTTTTTCAAGAAGGGGACAGACCAAAGCACTGCCAAAACAGTTGGTGAGGTGAGGAGAATATTAGCTTGCAGTTGTAGAAACTAATCATCAGGGATTTATTCTGGGGCTGAGATGATCATAATTTTTGCTTGAGATCTTGCAAGCAGAGTGAGACCAAATGTCCCAAAGTTTCAGTCCCAGAAGACACAAGGTCACGTAGCTGAGCAGGATGGCGTTTGCTTTCCACAGCTAACTGGCAGGCCCGAGGGTAGCAGGGCAGAAATGGCATCAGATGAAGATCCTTTCTCCAGGTCATACACTTTTGTGCTAATATAGTGACAAATAAGTATTCACATAACAGAAGGGAGGCTTGTTCAGAAGCCTTTCCTGAACTGTGGATGTGGCCTTTACCAGTACTGGAGGTCAACAACAGATCCTCATGTTTCTGTTGAAAACTGGGCTTACAGCAAAGCTTCATGAAGTGCAAAGCTGCACAACATACACTGTCTGCCACCTTAGTGAGGCCAAAGCCAAAGGCTGTGTGTAGATAAATCATGCCATCTTCAGGAGAGGTTGCCTCAAAATGAATTACATCAGCCTTGGCATTGCTGTCTGCTTGAGTGGTACGAGTCTTTGGAAACTATCCATTTAAGGATAGATCCCATCTAAGGAAAACTCTTAATACTACCTTTTATTTGGTAAGAATGCTACTTTCTTTGGTTTTTCTCAAAAACATGACCATAAGGCTTTAATCGTTGAAGCAGTTGTCATTCAGGAGAGGGATCAGAGCACCTGCTATTTGGTTATGCATTGAGTAAAGGGAACTCACCCCTGTCTGAGTTAGCACAGCTGTAGGAGGGATCCAGTTTGCCCAGCTGCAGCAGGGCTAAGTGAGTCATCTAAATAATTTTTATAATTAGAGAGAGGTATCTCCATGGGGTGACTCATCCCACCTACCCTGGAAAAGAGTGACTTGTTCTCTGGAAGTGCCTCTCACCACTGACTGCACAGAGAACCTGAGTGGTGAGTTGAGATCATACAAAAAGATATTATCTCACCTAAAGAACATAGGAGTTGCCTCCTATGTTCTTTAGGTGAGATAATATCTTTCTGTAAGTCATAGGAGCTCATGTTAAATTCTAAAGCAGTCTTGGGTAATTGGTAGGGCTGGTGACTAAAGCAAGAAACTGAGACTGGAATTCCTAATTTCTTTTACTGCAATATGGGATAAATGGGAGATCTTAAAAGACATAGCCTTTTAATATAAATGTACTGAATGAGATGGTGGCATTATAAAATATAAATCTTCATTAAGCTGTAGTAAGCTTAAAAATAATTTGCTGTTACTGAATGCTCATTGCCACCTGTTTGTAGAAGCCTCCCTCACATAGTGTTTAGAGACCTGCATCCTGATCTTTTGAACTTCTGTGTTTTGACACAGAATCTTCTCTCATGACAGTAACAGTTGTAACTCTTCCAAACAACAGTATTTTGAAAGTTTAGCTGTAGAAAAGCAAGCATAGTAATAAATGTTGTCTTAAAGTCAACATATCATATACATTCCTTTTTCTTAATAGCACCAAGCCTTTTGGTAAACATGTTTACATATATTTCTTACAGCCGTTTTACCCACTCACCAAATGCTGACCTGAAGTCAGTCCTTCTCAGCATAAGCTTATTTATTTGTGCTCCTACTGTGGCTGGGTATTGCCATGACTAATGCTCTGTGAGGTCCAGTAGAAGATCATACAATATTTTTTATTTTCAGTAAACCTTATTGTGAGCAATGGTAATCAGAAGTTACACTTACAGTTAATCTGAGAATGGTACCTGCCCACTGGGCGTTATGTATGCAGTATAAATTTATGATGATTATTTTGTTTATTTTTTTAGATGTGGATTTAACTGATATTATGATATACAAAATCCCTCCCCACATAAGGAAAAGAGCCCTCTGTAAGTATGGTCCTTGTAAGTAATGTAAAGATGTGTCATTAAATGATAAATTAATATTGCAATTTAAAGGAATAGTTGAGATCTTAGAGAGGCTTGGAAAACTACTACACTCAGTAATATTTAAGTAGAAATAGCTTCAAAACAAATTAGATACCTGACCCTCTTTTAACTTATCAAGGATTGACCCTTTTTAAGGATTGCAGAGATTTAAACTGAAAAGCAGCCAGGCTCTTGAACCTAATTGCAGTCTGGCCTGTACCTTGGTGAACATGTCAATTATTCTCTAATATGTTATTCATAGATTCTGGGGGAAGGGCCTATGGCATCCTGTCTTAATCTCTGCAAGTATATTTTGTAGGTCTTTTCATCAGGCAGTTAGGTTTAATAGATTTACAGACTGTTAAACATCACATTATACAAAGAACAAACCAAGGAAAACCTATTGCTGAAAGAAAGGAAAATATAGGAGAATGGAAAGCCTTGGAAACTGTCAAAGAATTTTGATGGAAGTTTTATTTGAATAAATACTAGGACATTCAGTACTATTTGAGAAAGGTTGGTTATTCACTAGCCACTTAAACATTAATAAATAGAATAAAGCTTTTTTACGGTGTGTGATCAAATCTTGGAACAACCAGGTTGGTTAGAGAGGTCTTGTCCAAAAAGACCTGGTCCAATTCTTGTCCAAAACCAGCTGGACACTGTCCTGAGAAGCTTCCTTCAAGCAAAGGAGTTGGATTAGATAAACTCCAGAATTTATCCAACCTCAACTATTCAATATGCATTGAAAATCTGCCTGCTTTAATATTTGGCTGTAAGAAATTTTATCTATAGGCAGAGTGTTGTTTTTATACACTGTCACTGAGTTTTAGAGCTTTGGGGTGGGAGGTTCAGAGATCTCAATTTCTGCTTCTTCCATTCAAAAAAATTTTTTTTTCCTATTTGGAATTGACTTATGCCATATTATGTAAATCTGACTTGAATCAAATTCTTAGTTCTGAGTGGTAACAGACTGGCTTATTATGTAGGCAAAGTCCAAATTTCCTCCCTAGAATGAGCTCCTCGTTTAAAATCTAATTTCTAAGCTGATGTAGATGTCCAGACTGTGTTCAGTTCAGTTGTCTTACCTGCATAACTTGCATTTGAATTTTTGGTGTCCAGTGAAGCAGTGATAGTTAAGAAGCTTGAGTACCCCATAGAGAGAGAAAGATTCTTTTGAAATCCTCCAGAGCGGTATGCTGACTAATTAAATTCAGAGACTTAAGTTAAGCAGGTTGAATGTTCCTTTGGAGGCCTTCTGACAGATTTAAAGTGGTGTTTTAGAACAAAATGTAAGCTAGGTGCTTTATTTAATTAGAATGCATCTTGCTCATTGTTAGGCCCATCAACCTAAAAGGAAAAGAAATACTCTCCCATTTTGCAGTGTGGTTCAAATGTTTTGTAGAATGAATGACAGACTGCTGGGAAGGTGTTAGTTACTTTATTAGTACTTTTCAGGTTTATTAGATTTTACTCCTTACTTGCTAAATTAATAGAGTTTGTCATAAGATTATGAAACAAATAAAAAAGTTCCATAACTGCAGTGCTAGCACGGTTGATTGAAGGAACATTCACATTCAAAATCATAACCAAATTTTCTGTAGGCTTTCTTTCCTACTGTAATTTTCACTTCATAGGCATTGTGAGGGGAAGGACTGTCATGGATGTCTGTAGTCCAAAAAAGTGGAGGAAAAGCACCGATGCTGCCATCTGCCACATCAGCAGGCATCTCTTTTTGCTTTTTCTTTCCACCACCATCCCAGAATTTCAACCTCTCTCTGGCCCAGTAGGCATTATTTATAGTTTTCATTATCCCTTTCTCATGGCAGTAGAGCCTAGAACAGCACAGTGTGCTGACACTGACAACATTTCCTGCCCTTTTGTTCTGCACTCCACCAACCTGTTGTTCCTTTGTCATTATCCCTAGTGCTTCCTCTGCAGACAGAGGCCCCATCTGACAAATTTACTTGTGCTCCCCAGGGAGCAGAAACCAGGAAACTTCATTAAGGATGGTTTAATCACTTAGACAAAGGAGAAGAGCAGCTGGTTTTTAACATGTCTCTCTCAAGCCCCATTCTCTGACAGAAAAACTTTCTTGCATGTGGTCCAATTTTCAACAATTTGCTGTAAAATTTTGCAGATGTAGAGTTCATGCAAATGGAGTTACTATGCATTGGATCTGCCTTGAGCATTTTATTTGAATGACCTGAGATGATTTTATGGCAGCAGATTTGCTGCTGTTGAAAAAAACAGTAGCTGATAGTGGCCTAAAATTTTGGTGTGTATTTTTGCTTCCTCTGTTGCTTAGCATGGTAATGTTAGAGGAATAGCAATTGGATACAACCTGCTGCACTCTGCTACGCTGTGAGACAAACATCATTAAAGCCAAGCAGCCAGGAGAGAAGGGCTCTTCATGAGAAAATGACAGCAAGAGAACACAGCCCCCGCCATGGGGCCAAGTCCCGCACCGTGCAGAGGGCCTCCACCATTGATGTCACCTCTGACATGGTTGGCCTTTCTCTGACAGGTTTGTACCTTCCTGACAGCTACTGCTCTGTTACTGCTTCTTCCAGAATCTGCCTTGTGCTAATGTTGGTGTTTTTCTTTTAATTGCTCGAAGATTTAGATCTGTCTGGTTATCTGGAGGTAATGAGATAAAGGAATTATGCTAAAAAATTCTAAAAATCTTGAATTTGCAACTTTTAAAATAGACAAAACATTGAAATCAGAGGGGCATTAAAAAAATTAAGTTAGATTTTTTGTAGTTATGTTTGTCACTCAAAAATAAGCAGTGGGGAGAAAATAACAAAATAATGTCACGGTCTAGGAAGAGTCTTGGCAACCTCCTTGTTTTACATTGTATAAAATTTTCAAGAGAGTTCAGGGAGCTGAGGCTTGTCTCTCTTATCTTTTATGGTTATTAAATTAGGATTCTAACCCTCAGAGGTTTACTTTCATTAGTGAGAGAGACAGGTACTTTTAAATTTTGTCCTATTAACTACCACAGATTTAATAATTTGGAGTTAGTAGTGGCTCAGGCTTTAATCCTGTTGTTTTCTATTGAGATTAAGCATTTACTATTCCCATATTGCGTATAATCTTGTGCAAGTTTACATATATTAATATGTTTTGTAAACTGAGATCATCCCAGATTTTCCAAATAATTATTAGATACCAAGGATTACCAGATAAGTGTTTTCGATACCAGTCATGGCTCACTGAATTAAAGAAAAATATTTTTGTATAAAATGTAGTTTCTTTCTCTGTGTGATTGCAACTTCAGGAAAGAATTCACAGGGCAGTGATGTGAATTGTCTAATCTTGTGGTAATTTTTCTGTTTTACAGGAAACATTCAGGATCCAGATGAGCCAATTTTAGAGTTCAGTTTAGGTAGGCTTAGTGATTTTCATGCTAGTTTTGATAATGTGTGCTGTTGAATATGTATGAGGTTTTGTAAGTGTTGATTTTGAAGTGCATTTCATATAGTGAAGTTTGCAACTTTGCTCTGATTTTTGTGGAGATGGGGTACCGTTTTTGTCCTGCTTGTACAGTATCTTTTGATAAGCAGCCAGCAGTTTCATTTTGTGGAGTTTCTAAAAGTCTGTAACTAAAATATCAGTCTTACAAAATTTTAATGTTTACTATGTGATGATGATGATGATGATTATTTTTTTTTTTTGTTTACTTTGTTTATGTGAAGATGCAGTGAAACTCCCTTCACTGTCAGTTAATCAGCAGTTCAGATCTTCAAGCAAACTAGAGATTTGCTGGAAACACCATTTTAGGGCAGAATGGTTTCTAAGAATTGCGAATTACACCTAACTTCTTTCCTGGGGTTTCTGTTGTCAATTGATAATGCAAGATGCAGAAGTGACATGAATTGTGAGATGGTTGAATTTGGACAAGAAGCTTGTGCATTGACTCACCTCACTTGAAGAATTAATGAATAATATTTTCTTGCTGAAAATTCAGTCCACATTTTCAACTGCAGGATGTTTTTCTTGGCTTAATAGTGGACTTTTATTTGAAAGGTTATGCTCTTAACAGTAGGCTAATGAAAAATTAGAAAATTTTCTCAGTTGTGTGTAATTGTGTTATAAATAATAATCTTAACAAGCATTCTCAGAGCTGAATGAGGTATTTCAGTTATTTTCAGATAAATTAAAATATCTAGAATTACAAAGCTGTTTACCTAAATTTCAGCATTTACTTCATGCACATAGCTGAAGCTGAGTTGGACCACACTGTAGCTACCTGTATCTAGACAGATGGAATTTCGCTCTGAAATTTAATATTATTGTGTAGAGTGACTCGTGAAAATTTTTGGAAATTGTTTCCTACTCACCATAGTCCTTTTCCCAGCAGTTAAACTCACAGTAACATTTTAGAGGAAATAGATTGCTGTCATCTTGCAATTGCAAGCTGGTTTTCCTCAGCAGTGCTGCTTGATCAATGTTCAGGCGCTTCTGTTGGCTGTCCCTGGGCAAATGCCATTTGATAATGGGCTTAATGGAGCGTGGCTTGGAATCAAATGCAGCCAGGTCATGAGATTCCCAGGGGAAAAGCTGCATGTGGGCTCTTAGGATGAGCTTGCCAAGGGGTGGATAGGCATGTATTAGAAGAGAACAAGTTTAAATTGCAGCTCCAGAGCTTGGAGCCAGGCTGAGCTGGTTGCATGTTTACTGTTTGCATGCACAAAGATGAGTGATGTCTGCTTTTATGGTGTGGTGATAGAATGAATATGAAGCCCTTTGTGGTTTGATTGCTCAGGGTGTATAATGTGGTTTTATAAAAATGTGGAGTCTTACAGCAACTTGAAAAAGATCCTGAATCTGAATGTATTTATCTGTTGCATACCTAAGCTTGCAGTGAGCTGCTAACTCCATCGCTAGATCGAAAACCAAATAGTTTTGTAGCAGTGAGTGTAACTACGCCTCCCCAGGCATTCTGGACGAAGCATGCACAGACTGAAATTATTGAGGTGAGTGCTCAGATATTTCTAGATTAGATTTAAAATCAAAGCTAACACAGGAATCATTTCTTTCCTAAAAAATATCACCTTGCATTAACTTTTGGCTTTTTGTTTATGATTACAGGGAACAAGTAATCCTATCTTTCTAAGCAGCATTGCCTTTTTCCAAGACTCTCTTATCAATCAAATGACACAAATCAAACTCTCCGTGTATGACGTCAAAGATAGATCTCAGGGAACAGTAAGTTTGCTTTATTCTGTTGCCTGCCCAGTCAGTGGAGCAAGGAAATGAGAGACAAAGAGATAAAATTAGTAACTTCTGTGGAAGAAAACAAAGGGATAGCAGCACTGATCATACAGAAAGCAAGATGGGTAGGGAAAGGAGGAACAAATGAGATTGGCTTGACAGAGTGAGGAGCATTGTCACTTTTCTCAACTGAGGCTTGTCTGCAGCAAATTTGGAGACCATGGATTTAAATAAAAAAGATCCTGTCATTTGTCCTCTTACATTGTGGACATTTTTAGCGAACTAGATAATGAATAGGATCTAACATCCCTAACTGAGGCTTCTAGCCTGTGCCAAAATGCCAGAATGAAACGTTCCTTTGGAACAGAACACCTAAATTCTGGGAATCACTGATACATTACATTTTGTTCAGGGGTAAGGTTTGTTCCTTTACTGAAAAAAAACTTTCAGTGTCAGCGCTCCCATGTTGCTACTTGGATTTTTGGACAATACAGGCTGTTTATTTTCCCACTGTTGTCCAGAATACTGTTTCAGGCCCAATGTGTCTGCTCTTTCATGGCTTCCTCAGGGACAGCAGAGCTGTCCCTGTCTGTTCAGTGCTTCATGGAGAAGCTTTAGGGAAAAATTAATGCTTCCAGGGGAAGTACGTTCTTCACAAGGAGACAAATTTGGGTCAATGATGCAGCCTGAGCCCTGTTCAGCCATTGCTTTCAGTGTTCCTGAATTGCTTGACCTAAGCTCATATATACTGAGATGCCTCCATGTATATCCTAGAGAAACAAAAATGCATATTGTCCTCTAGTAGAAGAAAAACTTTTAGAAATTGTCAAATATGTTAAATTTCAAGAGATTTTAATTAGTTGTATGTGGTGTATTTAGTTATGATTTTGCTCTTGGACTTCTATGCATGATAATTGTATTTTGCACTTCAGTGCTGTGGTCAAAGCCTTTGTTCACTGTAAAGGTAAATAAAATTCTGGAACTCATCTTCTTTCAGATGTATTTGTTGGGTTCTGGGACATTCACTGTAAAGGATCTTCTTCAGGAGAAGTACCACAGGTTGCACATAACACTAAGGTTTGTAATATTTTCCTTCTTTTAACTGTTAATTCTTCAAAACATGCTTAAGATGAGATGAAAACCTCTTATGTCATGACTAAGTTGAAATGAACCTAATTAAACTCCCTTGTTTTGATATCAAGTATATTCTGATTATCAAAATGTGTGAATACATGCATCTCTTCTCATTGTCATGTTACCCTCAAATGTATAAGCTGAGCACAGAGCACTACCTAGGCTGCCTTCATTCCATGCAGCATCCTTGTGGAATAAGGGGAATGTTCTCCTGTTGGACTAACCCATTATAAAATTATTACAAATGAAGTTGCAAAGCTTCCTGTTTAAACTGTTATTGAAGTTTGAAGATTAATACCCTTTTATAAGTGTTTCCTTGTTGATGAACAGGTCCTCCTCCAAAAAAATCTCAACGCAGAGTATTTGTTGCAGGTCGGCTGAAAGTGACCGTGTTGGTAACATCACAGTTATTGGATGGCAGATGGAGGAAAAATCTGACCAAAGGCCTCCAGTGACAAGGTCACCTGATACCATTAATGGAAGGGTGAGTTTGAGCATTCGACCAAATTCAGAAGAATGCAGATTTATTGCCAGCATTGAATAAGCTAGGTTGACATCTGCCATCAACTTTCCTGTCTATCTTGATATTTAGTAGAGCTTTACATTTTCAAAATACTGTAAGGAGCAGCCTAATGGTGATGAAGCCATTTTGAGATTTGCAGAGCTCTTGGTGCTCATGTGTGGGGTTAAAAGTCTTGGGAAAAAAATTAATTTAAAATTATTAAGCTTTAGTTATCAAGTATTCATGTTCTTCATTGGAAGAGGCTTCTGGTACTGTTCATTGGTGCACTTGGCACATGGATTACCAGTTTCAGAGACATGTGGTATTTTATTTCACATTGTGGATAGGAAGGTACCATTAGGCAAAACTGTAATGAAGATGCTAGGGAATTCCCAGACCTGTTTGAAAGCAGATGTTTGCAGTACTTTCTCAGCCTAGACATATATTTAATTCTGCAAAGCTTGTGTTTTGAGTATCTTGGTGATCATTGCACTCTTATATGTGTATTATATTCACACTGTGCACTAGAATCCCTTTTTATCCTCCAGATCTGTTCATGACTATTGATGCAGTACCTGCAAGGATTCTGGAGCTGTGCTAGCATAATTGAAAGCCTGGATGAAAATTTTTGTAGTATTTAGAAGTGTGCATAGAAGTAAATAGGATTTATTATTTCAGCCTGCAATATTTTTTATTCACAGTAGAAATATTTGAAATATTTATTTAAAGCATGTGCGGAGTTGGATATTTCTTTGAAGTCTTTCTGATAGGTCATCACTGCATATTGTTTGGGCACTGAGGTTTCATTCTTTACTATTTCTGATTTTTCTTGTTTTTGTTCTTGTTCAGACTGTGTTGCCAGTTGATGAAAGTTTAACAGAATCCTTAGGAATCAGATCCAAATATGCTTCATTGCGGAAGGATGCACTACTGAAATCTGGTAAGCTGCCCTGGGCTGTAACAAGTAAGCTTTAGGTATCAGTAAAAGCTGATCTGCCCTGTGTGCCTGTGGCCCCAGGGCATTTCAGCAGATGTTTCATTTGAATAGGAGCAGGCTGCTGATTGAGCAGTCCTTTGAGGGTCATACCAGAATAAATCATTTTATCATATGCACTATTCTGTATTGTAAAAACAGCAGAAGCAAACTCTTGCCATTAGATTGACTGTAATATAACATTTTTCATGCAATTTCATAGTCCATTCCTAAACAATTGTTGCAGGGTGAGGAAAGGGTCAGAGGAAAACAAATTGCTTTACAAAAAGAATCTTGCAGAAGAGTTAGTTTTCCAGCAAATGGTTGCGTGAGAGGAAAATGCACAGTACATAGACAAAAAAAAGGGCATTTTAAAAGGTGAATATGTATTTAATTTAGCTTCTTTAGCAGTGTAGTAAGTCATTTGGAGTGGAGGCTTTTCCTGCAAACACTTGGAGAATGGCCATTGCAGAATGACCATGCCTGCAAAAGGTAGACTGATGCCTGCTTAAACCAGATCTTTACAGCAGGGTGTTTCAGCATAGTGAACTGAAGCCATTTACTTTAAGAAAGAAGAGACTTTGTACACTTTTAAGTCAGATCCTAGGCTTAAATAACATGGTTTTAATTCTTCAGTGTTTGGTGGTGCCATTTGCCGAATGTATCGTTTCCCAACCACCGATGGAAACCACTTGAGAATCTTGGAGCAGATGGCAGAGAGCATCCTGTCACTGCACATCCCTAGACAATTTGTGAAGCTGCTTCTAGAGGAAGATGCAGCAAGGTGAGTTTTGGGATGGATTACATGTGCAGTAATACAGCAGTGATGTGGCTGTTACTGAGTTAAAAAGGCATAAATGTATCTGTGTTAATGCACTGACTACTCGGTGAGATAAGAAATGGCTTTGAGAGTCAGAAGAGTAGTTTTGAATGGAAAACAAAACAGAATTAAAGCAAGTAAAATGAAATGCTGTAGTACAGTAATGACATGGTCTCATTTTAGGAGGTGTGAGGGGGAAGGAAATCTGTTAAGCATTTTGTAGGTTTAGTCTGAATTTGCTTTTTTGAAGCAATTAACTTTCTTCCAGACAACATACTCCTTTATGATTGTTTCTTCCCTACATTTGTAGGCTGTGGTTTGCAAATCTAATGTTTTATGTACTCTTTGTAAATGCCAAGATTAGAATGTTAAAACATTTTAGCTGTGTTTTTGAGTATTGGGCTTTTTTTTTGACTGTATTTTAATCCAATCCTGTAGATTTTAACTAAGTCTGACCTTAATTAATACTAACTGGTGTTCTCGTTATTGTATATTAGGACATTTCAGTTCCTTTGGAATATAGTGAAATAAAATCATGGGTTAATCCATTCATTGTAGGTATTTTCATATTTTGTGAAAATGACAAACTCTCACAGGAAGATGGCAGAGACTTTTTGTAATGCATGGGAAAGCTAATTGAGTTTCTGAACTTTCTGATGTTATGTTTTTAGTGTGTGTGCTTAGATTCTAGAAATTGAATGCTCTATCTTGTTCAGCTATCCGACTACAACCTTGGTGGAGCAGGCTAGGGGTATGCCATTGCACATTAAGTCATGAGGTATTTGTTTTTTATTTTGCATCTTTGTTTCTGTACAGCTTTTCTCACAGTAGGTTTAAAAGCACCTATTCATTATTAGATACAACCACATAATAATAAAGAGTTGGGAAGTTTATCCATAAGATGCCATGTATGATGGATGAAGGTTAAGGACTTGAATATAAGGAGAATTCAGGGTGAATGAGCAAAAAGATGTGTCTTTCAGTAAGACTGTAGACAGTGAAGTTAGAGGCCTTGGCCATGAAATGTGACTGTTCAGATGCTCTTGCTAAAATCATGCAGAGATTGGTGGATGCCTGTTGTAAAGAGGTACAGGTTAATAACAGCCCAGGTGATTGTTAATATGACCTTGTATATGTCCACTGGGTGGTGTGGCTCAGAGGTAAATAGGCCTTTGTGTAATTACTGAGAAAGGCTGCCTTGTCTCTGTTCAGTTGAGGTGACCCTCAATAATGTGCACAATCACACTTTGTATTCATAGAGTCACTCAAATTTGACCTGCTCTGTTCTCCCTTCTCAGTGCTGCAGCCTGGAGGAATGACAGACAGCTAAACAAGCACAGCTGTTTCTGTCTTCACATCCTGGTGACTTTTAAAACGTCCTTGGATAATCACAACTGCTGTCTCTTAGATAAAACTCTTCTGGGCCAGAGCCCTTTGAAAGGAAACATCTAGGGGGTGTGACGTTTTGACTGCCTATTTATTTATGGCATCCATATTCCTTGCTGCTTGGCTCTAAGGGACAAACAAGTAAACTTGAAGTGGTAAGCTGTGAATTTACTTCAGGAAGACCAGGGCTCAGATGCATGGCTGGTTTTGAGCAGGGAGTTTGACAAGGTAATCATAATAGCATCTTATGCAGAAAGCAAGTTTTATGATGAAACTGGAAGTGTCTTTATCTAGGTCACTGATAAATATACTTTATGCTGTTGCCTGTTGGCAAATCAATCTGATGTTTTTCTTGGAAATTTAGTTCTTTTTGATAATATCCAAAGTACTGTGGAGTGGGAATTGCTCTGTGAAATGCTGTCTTAAATTATACACAGACAATTGGTTAAAACTATGGAATTAGGAATATTGAGAGAATTGCAAAAAGAAGTGCTGGATCCTTTTGACAGATGATTGTTCTACCTTTTCCGGGGTAATGTGCTATTGAATTTAGTCTGGTGTTGACTTGTTTATTTTTTCCTCTTTCTTCCTTTATTCCAAATAATACACTAATCCAAGAAGAAAGTAATACAAATGTGTCATGAAATACACTGAGTATTTTCTCAGCAGCACTGCTGGGGAACAGTATGTAACAGAGGATTGCCATGTGTGACTGGAAACCTGGCAGTTGGGGTACAAGGGGTTTTCCTGTTTGTATCTGTGGATGTCCAGTCCTCCTTTATTCTACCCTGAGTGCCCAAAATCCTGGATTTCAGATGAAGATTTTTTTGGTTCATCTTCAGTCTCTCCAAACCCTTAATGCTTAATGCTTGCAGTCTCTCCAAACCCTTAATGCTTGCAGACTCTCCAAACCCTTAATGCTTACACTTCTTAGGCTTTCCCTGGCCTTGCAAACTGTTGTGTACCTACCTTACCAGTGAATATACTCCTTGTACCTAACATCAGATAGGTGCTAATATCCCACTCAACCTCTGTCAGAGTTTTTAATTAAAGAGCCACCACAGTTCAGTAAAGTGTCCTTAAAAGGTCCTCATTGTCCCAAGTCTCCTGACACAAGACAGTTGCCATCATTTACCAATCCTCATATAGTTGGAAAGCTCCTGCAGAAAGGTGGGAAGTTCTGCTTAGGATCAACACCTGAGGCTCCTGGGGGGAGTACAGTGTATTCTGCCTGTGAGGAAACAATTTACCTCAGAGTAGTGCTCAGCCTGTGCTCTGAGATGTGCTTGTGATGTGCGTTTGGAAGTTTGGGATACGTGTTGTTTCCAGTCTGGTGAGTAGCTCAGACACGGTAAATTGAGAGTGTGTCAGCTGAGGATGGTGTTTTGTTGATAAGATGTGAAACTCATTCTTGGTCAAGTGGACTATGGACATAAACACCTCTCTTTCCCTCCTTCCCCAATTTTTTTCCCCCCAGGGTTTGTGAACTAGAAGAATTGGGAGAACTGTCTCCTTGTTGGGAAAGCCTTCGTCGACAAATAGTTACACAGTACCAAACAATTATTTTAACTTACCAGGAAAATCTGACTGACCTGCACCAGTATAAAGGTGATTTTATTTTATAAAAACATGATTCTTCTCTACCAGGATTGTTAGTGCTTCTCTGAAATTGGGAACCCAGAAGGTTTTATGATGAGTAAACAATGTTATTATATTTTTTGTCTTTATTAATAATTATTGTGAGTTTGCTAATTACCGGGGAATATTTGTCTATTCTGTTTGTTCTCTTATCTTACTCTGAAAGTAGAGGACAAGGCATGAACAGTAACAGAAAGATTTTGGTTTGTTTTTTCTTTTTAATTTTCTCTGCTTTACTTTCAGCACATAGCAAATGATGAATAAAGCTTCTTGAATGTTTTAACATATGCACAAGGAGAAGAGTTTTATGCTTAATTTTGTCTTGCATTTCTCAGGTCCTTCATTTAAAGCCAGTAGCTTGAAAGCTGATAAAAAACTGGAGTTTGTTCCCACAAATTTACATATACAGAGGATGAGAGTCCAGGATGATGGAGGATCAGGTATTAGTTTCTCTTTCTTCACTGGTCTTGTTACTTTTCTCTCCTCTTTTTTTAATTTCCATCGTCAACCGTACAGCCAAGTTTCTGCAAACTATAGTAGTAGTGCTACTTGGCATTTTTGTAGCACCTTCTATTCTCAGATTCCAAATCTCTTTACAAAAGAAGAGATGGAAGTATAATTATTGCTGTTCTTCAGGTGGCAAAACTAGGTTCTGGAGTTAACTGAACTCTAGGTGGCACAAGTTAGCCCTCGTAGTAGGGTTGGGTTTAGCTTCTGCGTCCCTTCCAGACATTCTGAATTGCAGTAGAATAAAAAAGGTTCTGACTGTTGTTTCTTGTTAAGCTTGTGTGCTTTTTCTCCAGAATCAATGTGTATGGCAATGCAAAATCACATTTTTTCACATCAAGCTTGTTTCATTGTAAATAATCTGGGCTTTCCCTTGTTTTAGCAGTAATTCCCTGTGATCATGAACACACACTTGTGTCCATGTGAGGGATTCCAGTAATGGCAAGCTTTGTATACAGACCAGTGTTCAATACTTCTTTTTCACAGTCCATCTTCTAGATTAAGAAACAAAGGACCTGCATTCATGTATGGTTCTTTCACCTGAAAAAGTATTTGATGGATTTCCAGGGCCTCTAGAACAACTCAGTTTTCCATGTCTTTCAAACCTTGGCAAAGTTTTCCAGAAATTTTTCAGAAAAGATTTTGAGCTTACACAATTGTTTGTCCACAATTGTTTGTCCATGTTAAAGATGACAGGTTTTCATTTGTAAGTCCTTTTTGTCCATCCCAGATCAGAACTATGACATAGTCACCATAGGAGCACCAGCAGCTCATTGTCAAGGCTTTAAATCAGGTGGCTTGAGGAAAAAACTGCATAAATTTGAAGAGGCAAAGAAACAGTAAGTAGAAATAATATTGTGTCAGCTATTATTGTGCGTTTTCCTCCTGGTCCATGCTCAGTTATTTGGAAAATCATTCCATTCTGTTTTTATTTCATTCAATAGTACTACTATACAATATTATGAATTGAATATTTTTCTATGCATTTTTTTTCCAAAGAAGGAGAGGGAAAACAGTTTCTTCCTTATATTACTGTATTTATTTGTTTACTGACAGACTCTTTCTAAGAGTCTTTTTATGAAAACTGTAATTTTTCTGAATACTTGTTGATTCATTTAATTTAGTTATTTTAGGTGTTGGGTTTGGGTACTGCCCAGTTGTGGGTCAGAACATTTGCTGAACATCCTCAGCTGCACTACATCATGCTTCAACCCATTATTTTCAGGAGACTTTCAGCCCTCTCATAGCTTCCAGGTCCTGTTGCTGAGCTCTCTTTGGTAGGAACCTGCTGTACCTGATTAGTAAATTCCTTGTTGACAAAATAGATTTAGTTCTGAAACTATTGCTGGAGGCTTTCCTGCATTGCCTAAGGTTTATGCAGAGATTGGGCTTCTGAATTTGTTCTCTGCCCTACAGGCAGGATACTTGACCCCAATGGGGTCCACAGGGACTGCCCAGTGACCTCTGTGGAAGAGTGGATGTATGAGCTATAGGGATTGCAGAAGCTGGGAAGGTCCCATTTGCTAACATGGCACCCACTCCAGCTCCCAGAGAAGGGAGAGCGCTGCAGGGTCTGCATTGCTTCTGCTACTCTGTGGAGCATTTAAGGCACAGGAGCAACAGGACAAGGAGTTGTTGTAGTCAGGGAAAAGGAGACCTTGATAATGTCCTTCCAAATAAAGGATTAGTAGGATTTGGAGCTGATAGGACAAGGGAATGACGTGGGAATTAACTGCAGAATTAATTTTGGCTGTAGAGAAATGAATAGCAGCATGTTGTGAATGTCAGTTAGATACGAACTGATAAACAGATTGGTGCAAAAACACCTAGTGCAATTACTCAGGCTGACAGAGTGCACTAGGATGGGAAACTGTAAACTTGGGAACACTGGTATGCAGGTTCACCCTTTCTGTTCTTTTGATACCACTTTTGCTCTTTGAAATTACCTCCTTCTGTCAGCGTAGCCACTGAAGTGGTTCTTGCTCCTGCAATAGCTAATTTCCCAAGGGGATTTGTTCTTTTCCCCCTCACCCAATAATTAAGTTGAATGGAGAGTTTAATTTCTATCCAGAACTTTTCCTCTAAGCTTTTCAGAACTGTTCCTTCTGGGTCCATGAAAACTGCAGGTTCAACATTTGAAGAACAACTTTCATTTTAAATGCATCTATGTTATTAAAAAAGCCAGTATAGTAGAACTGAGATCCATCTCCTCAGTTTCATTGTTACATTCAGTTCCTTCTTCTTTCATTGGCATAACTGTGCTTGGTGCATTCACAGCATTTCCCCAGATCAACTCATGGTCATCTGGCAATCTGTGTTTTTTTGCTTACAACTTCACATACCCATCTTATTGAAAACATGACTCAAATAAGTTATTTCCCCAGTCATACTTTGTTTTGTTTCTGCTTTTGGTATTTGCTAACAATCTGCTAATTTTATTTTGGTTTTTTGTTTTTGTAGCAGTTATGAGGAGTGTTGGTGAGTTTCTGTTTCCAAGAGTTCTATAGAGGGTTTCTGTTCTCTGGGTTGTTTTATTTTCCTTTGTTTGGCAAAGATCTGGTGTGTTTTCAAGTGTGCAGGGCTTTTTAATGTCATGCATCATGGCATCCCTAATTGTGCTCTAAGTAATTGTAGCTGCTTTGTAGAACATGATGTGTGAATGAACTTCATTTCATCTGCAATGTTTGTTTGCAATGAACAGCTAACTTCTGGCTCTCTCTGACCATAAGAAGTTAAAAAAACTGAAAATCAGAACACAAGGATTTTATATATTTTCCTTTGTTATTTCCAGTGAAAACTCTCTGGAATGAGAAACTTTTTTGCCAGTAATGGAAGATAATTAAGATAATTTTTTGTATTTTAAAACCTTGATAGTGACAGATTTGGCATGATGTATACTTTTGTAATCCTTGTCTTTATTTAAACATTTTCACATAATATTTTTTCTCATTTTGTGGTGTTCAGTGCTATCAAAAGCAGACATTGCTGGGTGGTTGAAAAATGCAGAAATTCTGCTCTAAATTACTCTTATTAAGGTTGAACCCCTAATTCACTGAGAATTTAAGTCTGTATTACAGTTTGCTGCTATAACACAATGAGAGCTGTTCATTTGAAAAAGCAATTGCAGGTTGGAAAGTAAGTATATGTGAACTTTACACCATAATTTTTTCCCCAGTCATCCTAGCAAATGTTTATTGTTAAAAATATAACAATTCTAAATCCAATCTCAATATGCTGCATGGCCTTTTCTGCCAACTATGTCTTTATGCATGTTAACCACACTGTTGTGGAAAGAAATTGCTCAGAGGAATTGTCACTAAGATCACCAGTCACTAGAAAGCACAAATCAAGTACAGGGAAAGCCCTAAAACCTGAGATTAATTTGCTGTATGGGATAACAGTGCTGGGAAGTGGTTGTTCTCTGCCTCTTGGGTGGGTGGGCAGAGCACAAACAAGAAAACTCTTCCAGGAATCACTTCTGAGTTACATCCTTTGATAACACATCCCTCATCTTTCTTTTGTAATGGAGCTCAGGCAGACACTGGCATTAGACTTCTCCCTTGCCTTAATATCCATTAAGGGATAAGAATTGGAATTGTGACATGATTTTGAACACAACCCTCGTTTCCTACCTCACAGATACACTGCAGAAATGAACAGCATTGCTCTAAGGGTAGCAGAGTTCCCACTCCTTGGAGGTCATGATCTGTTCCTGAAAAAGAAACCCCTCTCCATGTAACCTCTCAGCAGGGCTGTCTCCATTTAACAGTGCTGAGATGGGTGCAAACAGTAGGTTCTTCTGTGCTGTCACTATGCTGAAGCCATTCATGACTGAAAAAAAATAATAAAATTAAGGTAATACACAATAGGTGTCCTTTCATGCTTGATGCATGGATGTTGCACTTGGCACGGCTGGAGATGATGTAAGGCCTAGTATTTGGGTACCTTTCCTACTGGGAAGGAAGAACCCAGCATTTTGCTTGACAAAGGGAGTAGTTGTCAGTCGGTTCCAAATAATTAACTAAGAGCACAACTTCAACTGAGAGTAATTTTCTAAGTTAAAAGGCAGCTTTTGTGAATGACTCTCAAGTGGGATCAAATTACCCTTTGGAAGTGCCATTCTTTCTCCAGCAGTTGTAGACCATCTGTCTTGGATTGCATAAGCAACTTCTATAGACATCTAAACTTAAAAGGGCATAATCTGTTCTCCATTGTCAAATAAGCAGTCTTAGTGTAGCTGCATTATCCCCATGTAAAGATATGTTTGTCCCTAGTTTAGTATTTTAAGTGTGTGCTAACAGAAACTACACAGAGAACAGTGTCCTTGGATCAGCCTGAAGATGCATGTTGATTTTTTACATATCATAAAATTGCTTTTGCTGGCGTAACTTGATTCTGGTCTGCAATAGGGGAAATTATATACTTGCAGAAGGACTTTTTTGTTAATACAACAGTGTTTGCATTATGGATCTGGGTGGCATTTCTGTGTTAGAAGAAGCATAGATTTTCTTTTCATTATATTAGTAGATATATGGTAAAACATGTTTGTAAGGAAGGCCTCAGTGAAGTATCTCTGTTGTAAGAAGAGGGAGAATGGAGCAAGATGTCCCTGCAAAAGGTGGTTCTGTATCTGATGGCAAAATCTGTCACCCACATTCTCCTCAGCAAAACTGTTCCTCTGGTGTGCAAACTCTGCCCACAGCCCCTTGGTATTAGGTATTAGTAAATCTGCATCTGAATACTTTTACTAAAGGCAGAGAAGTCTCTAGCATCATGTTCCTGCTGTGCAATTGCCCACTGGACTTTCACTGTTGTTCACCAGTTTAGGTACATTTTTGTTGTCTGCCATTAATTCCCCAGCATGCCACTGTAATGTGTGTCCCTGTAGATCAATTTCCCCCCTAAAATCAGTCTTTCTTTTTCAGCACTTCAACAGGTTCCCAGTCTATAATATACATCCCACAGGACATCGTTAGAGCAAAGGAAATTATTGCACAAATCAACACCCTGAAAACACAAGTCAGTTACTATGCAGAAAGGCTCTCAAGAGCTGCCAAGGATAGATCAGCTAATGGCCTTGAAAGAACACTTGCCATCCTAGCAGATAAGGTAGGAGAATAATTCATCTCCCTGCTGAAGCACAGTGTATTGCTTGTTCTGTCTGTACCTTTAGTAGCTTTTCTTGAAACATCTGTTTTACCTTTTTCAGTAGTGTTGTAACATGCACAGACCTAAACAAAAGTTATATAAGCCTTTAAAAGTTCCTGGTTTTATTTATGTATCTCCTACTTTTGACACTCTTGCCTTTACCTCCTCTTGAAAGTGCAATGTCCTCAGATTCCCTCTATTCATTCATCACACTGCAGTAATGTGCATTCTTCACTTTCTTTTATATCCTTTTCTCCATAACCACCTGGGATTTTTTTAATGTTCTGAGTCATCTGTCAAGCAGCAGCAACTGTGTGAAAGTTAATGAAACAATTCTGTATTTTTCCACTGGTGAAATAAGGAATAATGGTGACATAACCTTTTCTTGAATTATAGTAATGTAAACAAGTTATTTCTTGATGTGCTAACAAAAAACAGACTGGATCCACAGCTGAACACAATCTTACAGGGAGAAAAAACCCAAATACAGTTTTACTGACCTTGTCTGTCCTTGAAGCAGATCTGAAGGCTCTAAACAGCAGTAGGGGCCAATCAGCTTGACATAAATTGTCCCAGTGGAAGGGATACACATACAACTTTGTATAACAGGACCTCATGTAAATGTGTTATTTATTGTAGTACTCATTCTAAATGAATACAGCGTTTAATTGTTCTGTGGGATTTTCTACAACTGGATTATGTGTATATATAACATATTCATGTCTTGTTTGTTGGTATTTTAGTAGACACTCAGGCCACATAATTTTCCTATTCATATGGTTTACAGAAATCCTTTAATACAACACAGCTAAATAAGACAGGGAACAAATTGCATTGATTAGTGGGTTATACCTTCAGCCCTCCTCTTAAATATTTTTATGATTTCAGACAGGATGATTGGGGTGAAACCTGATCCTTCTGGTGTGGCAACTGTTGTGTGGGGTATAAAAATAATTTAATATAGAGTATAGTGAGTTGGAAGGGACTATAATCAGGATCATCCTGGTCCTGCCCTGCCCAGACACACACCATGTGCCTGAGAGCATTATCCAAACACTTCTTGAGCTCTGTCTTGGTGCTGTGACCACATCCCTGGGGAGCCTGTTTCAGTGCTCAGACACTACATGTGTCTGCACATTGTTTTAAGTTTTCATCAAATGGAGAATAAAGTGCAAATAAAGATGAATTGCACATTCCTCAGTGAAATTTTCAACAATTAGAAATCTAATATAGTAGTACAGACTTTGTATGTATCATTTGTGTTTTGGGATCCTATACTATTTTTTAAGGTCATTCTGTAAAAGTATTCTAAAGGCACCTTCAAGCAATAATTTCTTTTACAGAATACTGCTTCTTTTTTTTTCTTTCTTGAAAAAAATACAGTATAAATTGTCTATGGAATCATGAAAAGTATAAACTGAATGGAATCATGAAAAGTTTTCAAAATGTGGGGCTTTATTGCTTTTTAGACCCGGCAACTTGTCACAGTTTGTGACTGCAAGCTGTTGGCAAATTCAATACATGGACTGAATGCTGCAAGGCCAGACTATATAGCTTCAAAAGCATCTCCAACCTCTGGGGAAGGGGAACAAGTGATGCTAAGGAATGATCAAGACACACTTGTGGCCAGATGGACAGGAAGAAATAGTCGATCTTCTCTGCAGGTGGACTGGCACGAAGAAGAATGGGTATGTTTGCATAGTGGAGCGATGAATCCTTTGTTCTTTTTACTTTCTTTTTTAATAAGCTCTGTAGCTGCTCACCAGATATGCATAGGATGAGTATGTAGGAGGTGTTGGTCAGCTAGCAAAGATGTTGTCTCTATCCTGCAGGCAGTTACTCCTTGACATGGGAATACAAGCAGGCTTTAATATTTCTGGGTCTCGTAAACAGTGGAAACTCTTAGAGGAGGTACACAGCATTTTTAAGGTGAGGCCCAAGGGAAAGTAAATAGGTTTTCAAGTGAAGAACTGACCACACTACAATGGGCTTTTGCACTTTCCCAAGCGTATTTTGGGGGTGCTAGCTATGCAATTTGGCCTTCCTCTTACAGAAATACTCCCATAAACATTTAGAACTTGCAGTCAATCACTGTTTTGATTATGAACAGGATTTTAAATCTGTTTGCACAAAGTATTTAATTTATTTTCCCTACCACACTGCCAATCAAAATGAAAATTGGACTGTGTAAATTCTGTCATTGTGCTAAATAAGCAGAAGTTTACTAAATCTCGCAAATAGTCAAGATTAATTAAAGCAATTGCTAATATTGGGAAATACCAACTTTTAAAAGAGATTCAATTCATTTTGGAAATGGATCCTTGCTAGTTGTAATTATTTTGGCATACTTTGACTTACAGTCAAACTCACAGTAATAAGATAGAAATAAAGCTAATTCAGTGTTTAGGCATTGCTGTAATACAGTCATTTTATCTGTTGTTCACTGAGTTACAAAGAAAAAAAGATGTGTGATTGTATACAATTACTATGTCAAGCATGAATTTCAAGAGTAAACAATAGTGCCATCTAGAAATTGGAATTATAGGGCAAGAGGAGGAACTTAAAATCGTTTGGCAAGCTTACACAGAAAATAACTTTGCTATTTAGCACACAAGTCATGTCACTAGACATTGTTGACATCCTGGTATATGTTATTTAAATATCCATAATTTGTGTGTGCACACATGCAACCACTACATGCAACTAATGCAACCAATGCACACATGCACACATGCAACCAATAGTCCAGAGGAAAGTTTGTAGAGGAATTGGGACTAGAATCACAGGAGGAAATATATCGCCAAGGGATTTGTTACCCAGTGTCTCTTTTGGTTTTAAACTGGGAAAGAAATGTTTTCTTTTCAGGAGAAAGTTTGGTTGAATGTTGACAAAAGTCTGGAGTGTATCATACAGCGAGTGGACAAACTCCTGCAGAAGGAGCGCCTGCAGAGTGACAGCTGTGAGGACGTTTTCCAGTGTGATGTCAGCAGTACCAGTAAGAAAGGTAATCGGGACAGTCGTGCCTACTGGATAAATCCAGAAGATTTAAATGAGACCTCATCATCCTCACCACCTTCATCATCCTCACCACCATCTTCATCCACACCATCCTGTGCATGCCATTCTCTCAAGACAAGTGCGTATGCCAGACGCTGCTTCTCCCTGCTGCTCTCTTCCTGTGTGCTGGCATCATTCCTGAGCCTCCCCTACAGCCCTCCATGTGTTTTTAGCTCAGTGGTGGTGTTAAGCAGTGATGTCAGGCAGAAAGAGCTGTTAGGTGTACTGGGAGCTGCTAAGCCCATTACTTCTTTTGAAATCCTGGTCCCACTGAAATAATTTCCAAATCCATTGGTGGCAGTGTCGCTTGGTTTTCACCCTGTGTGTTTTAAGCTGGTAAAGCAGTTGTATGGGTTATCACATGACAGACACCACCTCTGCTGGCATTCCTGTTGGCTTCAGCTTCTTTGCAGCAATCAAAGCTTATTACAGGTAAATAAAACATGAGAGAAGTGCAGGCACTACTAAAAAACTGATAGTCCCAGCTGGGCTGCTAAAGCATGGGAGAGGACCACAAGCAGTCCCATTAGACTGAGCTGAATGTAGATGAACCTAACAATTCAAAGCAAATTTTAACCCAAACTGTGGTGCTGAGGCACTCAATTATTTAGACTTCTTGTAGCTGGAATGTAGGAATTGGCAGTGCAAGTTCTTAGTTGAATAATCCATTCAAAATTTAAGCTCAAGTGGGTGCTGTATTGAACCCAGTGTAAAGTTGTAAGCATGCAAATGAAATAAATCCTTGTAATTTTAGAATGACAGTTTGGCAGCTGTGCATTAAATTTCAGAATTATTTTATTTACTTATGTACTTGACTTATTCTGACATTCTTTGCATGTGGTCATTCTGATTTGGCCACTTAATAGCACAGGTGGGCGAAGTGAACCTCTAAAATGCCTGATCTGTGTTCTCATTTCCTTTGTCCTGTTCTGTCTTGTTTGATGGCCCTTGTCCCTTATGTGTGTCTGTGACTTCATGTCCATCACATTGTTAGTGTTGCAGTGGGAGTGCCTTAAGAAAAAAAAGGCAAAAATTAAGTGAAAATGTTAATATATTTTTTGTGTAGTTTTGCATGTTACCTTATAGTTTATTTAGTATCTTAGACAACCATGTTTTTCTAGATTAGACTGACATTTTTGTGCATTATTAAAAAATAGGAGTGTAGGTTTTTGTTTCAATAACCTTTGACTAAATTCCTTTTACTGGTTTGATACCTATAAATGTTTTTGCTTGCCAGCTAGTTTACATGAAGTTTTATATGTATTTACATGTAAGTTTAATCAGTAACCTTCAATGCACATTCACACAAATGATTAAATGTTGTGGATTTTTAATATTAAAAATTCACAGGGAAAAATCTGTGTTGAGTGTTGTCAGAAGGTTTTCCCAAGACAATTGGATGCTGGAAACAACTTAGAATAATATTTTCCTACCATTTTCAGTGGTTCTTTTAAATCTGCTCTGGATCTTGACACTTACACCATGTAAAAGTGGAATTCACTCTGTGACCCAACCGAAGATTTTTTTAGTGCAAAGAATTTCTGTAACTTTTCCCTGCTGTCCTTCCAAAATAGGGGGAAAAAATCCTTCTGTTTAACCAACAGAATCTCGGGCAGAATTGAAGGACAAAGAAGGTCCTTTTTCTAAGTTCAGAATCACAACATTTTTGGTTTTGTGTATTGAAAGAATTAAGGTTTTTCCAGTCAGTAATTCTGAATTTTGAATAAATGAGCAGAGAGCAGACGGAAATTATTTTGAAAGCAATGTAAAACCAAGCCAAGCAAGATAGTTCCAGAACTGGTAAGAGAGGGATGGAAAAATTTGAATGAAGGATCTCTCTAGAAATGAATGTTTGTGAAAGAAAATATTGCCTGAAATAGTAGAAAGGAAACTTAAAAAATATATTTTCAAACATACTTAGGTTATTGGCTTAGATATTCATTACTAAAACCACATAGGGACATACAGTTTCTTTTAGTGAACATGATGGATTTTAATTTAGTGAGAGGTTTTTCTGATTATCTAGCTGAGATGATTGTCCTGATGCAACACTGTTGAATTTTATATTTTCTGTTGTTATATTCAGATTTATAATTGATTGACTAGTGAATCTAGATATAAACAACAGAAGCTTAAATTCTGTTAGCTTAGTAAACTACTTTTCATTAATGCAGGACTTGCTACAACAGGGCTTATGTTATTTTTTACTGTTAGCACTGACCTGTAGTATGTTTTCATCTGACAGCTTGATCCTCCCACTGAAGTGAGTATGGAATACTCACAGACTTCACTGGTGGAGTTTCAGCCCTTAATATACATTCTAAAATTTCTGTTAATTATCTCAGAAATTGTGTAATGGAATTTGACTCGGGTAGCAAAGTACTGGTTTCTTCTTACTCTTACATTGTGGGTGCCTTAATGTAATTTTCTGTTAAGTGCATTGAACTTATTGCTGGTCTTTCGCTCTTCTGTTTAGCAGCCTTACTGCCAGCTTAATCTGTGATTGCAGTAAACCAGTGGTTCTCAAATTGTGCCCTGTGGATCACTGGGGGTTGACAGTGCCCTTGCTGGTAATCCACAGCGAGCCTCTGAGCTAGCAGGTACTGGCTTTCCTCCAAGTCCCCATCCAGGTGTTCCTCTGATCAGAACAATGGAGTGGAGGAGACAGCCCATGCCCTCCATGCCTGGGGGCAACAGAGTATTTCTGCCTAGCTCCTCTTCACTCAGTGAAAATGTTTGAGAACCCTGGCACTGAGCATTTGAGTTGCTTGTATTTAGACTGTGTTGCTGCTCCTTAATCATGCATGTTGCCCCTCCATTTCTGTGCAGATTGCAGCCCTACTCTGGAAGAATCTGCCCCAGGTATGTGCATTCATGGCTTCTGCTTCTTCTGAAAACTGCAGGGGATTGTTCATACTTAACTGAACAAGTGCCTTGCTTTAAGATGGACCATTTTGAAATGGCAATGCTTTACAACACCACGTGAGTTACCTAAGCTGTTGAGCAGTTATTTCCTAAGAGTGCAGGGGGTATCTGGTCTTTTTACATGTCCAGATATGGGAGAGTGCTTGTTAAGGGCCTCTGATTTCTCCAGTTGATGTGTTTCAGCAAAGTGATGTAGATGACAATGGATTGAGGCTTGTTCCAAATGTCATTGAAGTCTGTGGGAGTCTAAAATTTCAGACATGCCCTTTCACATGGGCTGTTGAGCTGGTCTTTCTGAATGAGAAGTTGAGGAGAACATGGAGGAGCCAACAAGGCTGATGGAAAATCTCTGTTGTGGGTGCATATTGACGCAGGACGACCCCCAGCCAAGGAATAACGTGCAATGACTCCAGTGATTTCAGAAGGCTGAACAATTGCTTTATTAAGTTATACTATATTCATACTGTACTATACTAAACTATACTATACTAAACTATACTATATTATGCTCAAGAAAATACCTATGACCCTTTCCAGACAGTCACGAAACAGCTTTGACCTAACTGGTCAATCAATCCAAACACCCGTCACCGGAGCCCAGTTAACAAATCCCTCTTTGGAAAACCATCTCCATAACACATTCCACATGTGCCAAACAACAGATGGAACAAGTGAAGATAAGAATTGTTTTTCTTCTTCTCTGAGCTTTCTCACTACCTCCCCCAGGAAAAATCCTGGGCAGGTTGTGCCTTCTGCTCTCTGTGAAGAGAGCTGAGGCCACAGGTGCACACCAAGTGGTATTGGGGATTGCAAGTCTCATGTTTCAGGATACAGAATTTAGGAGTCTCATCCCAGTGTTAACATTCTTTCTTCTGTCCTTGTCCCTCTGTACTTAATATGAAAAGACTAAAATATCTTTTCAAGGCCTTGGAGGACAGCTGTTTTAATGATATTTTTATTGCTCTGGAGAAGAGACCCTTAGGGCAAAAAAAGCAAGAACTTTTCCCACCTGACGTTAGAGCCTACAAGCTTTATGTATTTGGTTCTCTTAATAAGACACTTATTTTTTATGAAATGGGCAGTAGTATATAGTCAGCAAAATTTCACTGTGTGAACTCATTGGTCTTCCCAACACCCCTACCTTGTTCCAACCTAATTTGAGACTGGGAGTGCAATTCATTTTCTTCCTGTTCACTGTTAATAACAACTGCCACTGACTAGAAAAAAAGGAGCACAGGTGACACCTCTGTGAAGTACGCAGCAAAAAATCATTTAGAACTTTGCAGACTGACAAGGGTTTGTTTTTTCATGGCTAGAATTTTAAACCAAGAGAATACACAGCACAGAGGATTTTTGCTCACTACCTCAGTTGAGTCCCTGCCTTGTATGTGAATGTTGGAAGAAAGAAACCCATCTAATAATTGCATTATCTTTACCAGTGCACTTTGTGATTACCAAAGATAAACATATCTTTAAAATGAAGTGCTGTCAGACACACTACAGTTTTAAATCTTCACTGAGTTAGTAGCTATATACATGTACATATATATATATATACATGTATGTACATACAGTCAGTGAGATGATGATGTGCTGGAAAATATTTTCAGTTCTCGTTATTCTCATTTGCTTACAGAAAAGCTCTTAAATGCAGTAAAAGAAACACTGTTAGTTTCATCTGTATTTTGCTTTCTAAGTGTTCACAAGGCCATGTTGTGGCATCTGACTAATTTTGAGATAAATATTTAATAGAATTTAGAAGATAAGCTGTGATTCCTTGCCTGTTCTTTTGATGTTTCCTGCTTTATTTAAGGCAATGAAATAGAGTCAAACAACTTTCTCTTTGTGTAGTTTGCATCTACCACATAGAACAAAAGCCAAAAGGATAGTTCTGTTACTCTTGCCAGATATGTTTCTGTTAGCAGACTTCCAGAGTTCCCCTCTTTGGCTGGTTATCAAAGGAACATTTATTATTACTGACTCTTAGTTCTGCCTCTGAATCAAAATCCCAAACAATTTACTTTCGGGGACTTTAAGTGTCTCATTCATGCAGGTTCTGGTCTGTATGTTGCCTTGTTCCTACAGCCAGCTGGGGTGAGAGTTGTGTGTGTGCTGTTTGTGAGCTCTGGTGCTTCTAAAAAATAAAACATATTGTCCTGCCCTGTAAAAAGAGAAGGACTTGGACAACTCAGTTTCACTTCTGTGCTTTCTGTGCAGGACCTTGAACAGAATCCCTCTGGATCATATGTTGTTTATTTCAGTGGAAGAAAAGCTCCAAAGTACTTCCAACAATCTAGGACTCCCATCTAATTCACTATGTTTAATATTTCTTGTTATCTAACTTAAAGCCTTTAAAACTGTTCAGGAGACAGGGAACACTTAAAAGAGTACCTACATTAATTTCTCACCTCACACCTTATTATTCTTAGGTGCAAGTAGGAGATGAACATCATCTTGCCTCACTGAGGTGCAATAAGGATCAATAAGGTGGTGAAGCAATTGAATGATACACCTATGAGGCTAGAGATTGAAAAGGCAGGTGTTTGGGAGGAATCTCATTGACAGAGATGGCTGAGCAGATGGTCCCCATTTCTGTAATACAATGGACTCCTTACTGTCTGTCCATGTATGTGCAGTGAAAGGGTTTGTTTAAACAAGAACATGCAGTTATATACACTTCTGTATATAATTGTTCATGTTTCTGTTATGATTTCCAAATCTGCTATTGTACAGCCTGTTGTGTGGGCACAAATTTTGGTAAATTTTACATGGCCTGGAAAGTTATAACAGCTTTACAAAGTAAAATTCTCCATATTTTCCTCCTGCAATAACCACACTGTAAGGTTACTTAATTATTACAAAGCAGGGAATAACCATCCAGCCAAAATAAAATGAGTTCTAAATGTGAATTATTTGTCCTGCAACGGGAAGTTTCTTCTTAATGTGTGTTTGTTTCAAATAAAGTCCTTCCAACCCTGCTAATATTTTTTTTCTTTCAACCAGGTGAATGGAGTGAAGCTCTTTATCCCTTGCTGACCACACTCACTGACTGTGTAGCCATGATGAGCGACAAGGCCAAGAAAGCCATGGTGTTTTTATTAATGCAGGACAGTGCCCCAACAATAGGGCTCTGCCTGAGCCTTCAGTATCGCAGGGATGTTGTCTTCTGCCAGACTGTAAGCAAGCACATATGCATGATTTGATTTCACTTCCATGTTTGGTGGGGTTTCTATGAATATGAAAGATTATTCTTTCCAGAATTTTTCAGATCTGTTCCCAGGTTTGACACTGATTTCCCCTTGCAAGCTGTGCTATCCTGTCCTTACTGGTTATGTGCATTTGACAATTCATAAATTAGGTGTCTCTTTGGATATACAGTCATTTGCTATTAAAAACAAAAATTATTCCAGAACTAGTAAAAATACTAGTATGCTAAAATATCCTGCTGTATTCAGAAACAGCCCTTGCCTTCCAATGCCACCAGGCCAAAGAAAAAGTAAGGTGTGAGACAGGGGGGCAAAAAGGTCTGTGAGTAGCAGGTGTACTCCCTCAGTTGCCTTTTGTTGTTTTCTGCATGGACAAACCCAGCAGAAGTCCAGCTACAGGAGGAAAAATTAGTTCTGGGGTTTTTTTCCCAGAAGTTCTGTTTCTGGACCTGCTGGCATCTCTTGTGTCCGACACTGACTAGCACGTGTCTGCACTAAAAAAATTTCCACTGCCCACAGAAAAAAAAATCCTCTACCCACTACACCTTTGTATTATGTCTGCTTTCCTGTGAAATCATGGTCTTGTTCATTTGTTTTAAACAGTTTATTTCTTGGACATCACTGGCAGGGCTTTAGTCTGATAATGTAATATCAAAAATGTAAAACAAGTGACAGGATGAGAGGAAATGTCCTCAAGTTGTGCTGGGAAGATTTAGAGTACATATTAGGAAGAATTTCTGCATGGAAGGGGTTGTTAAGACCTGGAGTGGGCTGCCCAGGAAAGTGGTGGAGCCACCATCCCTGAAGTGTTCAAAAAATGTGTGGGGATGTGGCAGTTGAGGACATGGTTTAGTGGTGTACGTTGTGGTGCTGCTGGGTTGGCCTTGGTGATCTTGGAGGTGTTTTCCAACCTTAATGAATCTTTGATACTGTGATCTCATAGTGTTGCCTTCTGATACAAGGCAGGCGACTTCCGCGGCGCCTTTCCCTGTCTACCACATCATAGAGATAAAATCAGGGAATTTTCTAATATAAAACCCACCACATAACGCAGATAATTTTAAAATTCAATCCTTTGGATACGTTTACCCATCATGTTCAGAACTTTATTCTCTTCTGTTTAATTCTATAACAAAGTCATACGCCTATATACAAAGTAGATGGCCATCACCTGGGAAATTCCTTTGTGGACAGTGAATTAAGACTAGTATTAATTTTAGATAATAGTACTTAGTACTACTTAGTACTAATCTTAGGACTAGATCCTCAGGATCTTGTTCTGAATATCTTGTAATATCAGAGTTTAAGTCTTCATAATGTGAACAGATACTGCATTTTAAAGCTTTCTCAAATGTAATTTTTGAAAAGCAGTAATTTATTCATACTATCAAAATTCTTGGCCTGGAACTAGCTGTTTTGCTTTTCTGTCTAAAACAAAACCAATTCTCTAAGGAGCAACTTCTGTAATTCATAAGTTGTAGACCCTACCACAAGTGATCGTGTTCAGAAAACAAGGTGTGAGATCTACAGCAGCCCCATTTTGAGACAGCTTGTGAGATGAAGGCAGTGTGCCCTGAATCTGATTTTATGAGTGTTTTGGGTTTTCATTGGTTGGTTGTCTTCAGCTGCAAGGAAAAAATGATATTTAAAGGAAAAGTGCATCTATGTGACAGATTTTATTGCACCTCTTATACATGCTGTGATTTTTGTTTGGGGCTGAAGAACCTTCTTTATTTTGAATCATTTCATTCTTGTCTGTTTCCTCTCTCACAGCTGACAGCTCTCATTTGTGGTTTCATTATCAAACTGAGGAACTGCCTGCATGATGATGGATTTCTAAGACAACTCTACACCATTGGCTTGCTGGCACAGTTTGAGAGCCTGCTGAGCACTTATGGTAAAGGCACAAGGCCAGGGGGTGGGATTAGCTGTTGAGTCAGCAAATTCTGCATTAAATTGGCTACAGCAGGATCTGAGTGTTTGGGACAATCTGCAGCTCAGCTACAAAATTATTTTAAAAACTAAAATGCAAAACTAGATTATAGCCAAAGTACTTAATTATCTAAAAACTCTGAATTTTTTTACACTTGCTTGAATTGCTTCCAAAAGATAAGTGTAGTTCTTTTATAATAGAATTTCAAAGGTTTAAGAAAGACTAAAATGTATCACAGTGGTCTTTGGGGTTTTTTTTTTTCAGAAAATAATTGGATGAAAGTTCTGGTAAGCTGGGAGAAACTGTGCCCAAAATACACTTTTTGAATTTTCTTGAAACTTCTGTAGTCTTGCAGCACAATGTGAGACTGAAGAGAGAATATGAAAAAGGGAAAGTACTTCACTCAGAAGTGTTTCACTTCCATGTCTCAAAAGCTGTCTGGATACTGGTTAGGGAATGTTTTATTAGACAAATCCAGAATACCTTGTGCAAAGGATATCATGGCTCTGACAATGCTGAGAAGTACTTATTAGCATCACCTACCTTGGAAAATCAGCATATAAAATACTTATAAAAAGAGCAGTAGTCTGGACTGTTCTAGAAAACTGGTGTTTTCTAAACTTGAAAACACCAAGTTATTTGAGCATTTCAAGGAAGTTTTGCCTGATGATTGTAAGTATTTTGTAATTAATGACAAACTGAACTCAAAAAATCAGCCATGACGTTGTCTGTAGACAAGCGGGAGACCAGGGCTGCAGCACTGCTTCATCTGTGGAACTTCTCTATGGAGTGTTGGCCTATTGTTGCCATCAAATTGACAAAGGAAAGTTGTGCATAACAAGTAATTACAATTCACTTTTTCCTCTTGGATTTAGGTGAGGAGCTGGCAATGCTGGAAGATATGAGTTTGGGAATCATGGACTTGAGGAATGTAACCTTTAAAGTAACTCAGGCTACATCAAATACATCTACTGACATGCTGCCAGTCATCACTGGAAATCGGTAAAAAACAATAAATATACTTTATTCCTCATGAGTGGGAAGATGCTAAAATTTGGCTTTTTCTACCCAAGTTGTAGAAGAATTGCAGTATAAATGAGGAGAGCAAAATCAGCCATTGTCAGGAGATTGGTAGATCTGATATGAATGTCTATGAGGTTATAAATGCACCATTACAGGTTGCTGCAGGTTTGGTTTTGAACTAGAATAGATCTTCTGACTAGAAGCAAGTTGTGGCAGTTCCTCAGAGTCAGTTCTGACTGGTGTTTGTTTTTTAATGTTTATATTATATTCTAGGTGTTATCCCTCTTTAGACAAATAACACATTTTTGGAATGTAGCTTTTTTATCCTTATGTCTCACAGCTGTTTATTTCTTTTCAGTGATGGATTTAACGTGAGGATCCCTCTGCCAAGCGCCTTGTTTGATTTGCTGCCACGTGAGATTCAAAGTGGAATGTTGCTGAGGGTTCAGCCTGTTCTTTTCAACGTGGGAATCAATGAGCAGCAAACCCTAGCAGAGAAGTAGGTGTCCAGTCAGGCAAGCTCAGCCTTGCTGGCAGTTCAGCAATGGAACTATGTTGATGTGGAATTGCACTCTTACATAACTGACTGATTCAGTTTCTCCAATACATGAACATGGCAGCACTGTTCTAAATGAATCTGCCAAATGCCAAACAGAAAGAAGTCCTTCTTTATGTGCCACGTAGCTGTGAAACTACTTACCTCATGAGTTTGAGATTAGTCCAGGTTTATGTGGTTCAGATATGAATTTACAATGGGAGATCTATCAAGGGCTAGTTAGCACAGAGGTGCTCCTTGTGACTTAAGAAATCTGTGAGTGGCAGATCACTAGAGGCTGAGATCATTCTGGGTATTGTTGTGTATTTACTGTCTTGGTTTTGCACTCTCCCTGAGACTCCCTCTCCTGGTCACTGTCAAAATTCAGGATAATGGGCAAGGTGCACCTCTGTTTTAACATACCCTTGCAGTTTTAATGTAATGCAACACTACTGTTGTAAAACTGAAAAATATAATTATGTAATTATATTTGCTATGGAAACTGCTCAGTTCTGGAAGAGCCAGCAGATTCCCTCTGTTATGGCCACATCCTATAAAGAGTACATTGGCAGGGCACTGCTCCAATGGAGCACTCCAGTGAAGCCAGGCACATGCATGTTGTGACAGCAGCCTTAGTACCAGGCTGGAGTGTGCACTGTGGTGGTGGACAACGAGAAAAAGTCTGAACAAAAGCATTGCAGCAATTACTGTTCTCTGTTGCCTTCAAAGGAAGCCCAAGGTGACTAGCACAGTTACAGATGTCAGCACTCTGTGTGTACATCTGTGTAAGTGGATATATTTAGATAAGATGCATTGGGGCATTGTTGACAATATTTATTACATTCATGGTTTATTAATCCTATTTTTCATTTACGTACCTGAAGTCAACGTTCTCAGTCCTATCTACTGATGTTATGGTTGTTATTATTAGTTTATTAACTAAACTATTAAATCCATTATTAAAAGTTTAAATTTAGGTAAAAAATTTGCCAGGTAGGAATTTAATATTGAAAGACAGACATGAAAGCCAAAGAATTTAAGTACTATTTTCTACAAGATTTTTCTTATGCCTTCCTTCCTTTTTTCCCCTCATACTCATATATTTTCTTTCTCTGTAATGAATCATTACAACAGTTCTCTGTTACTCTTCACCTGGCACTTGAATGGTTAGGGAGATCTTGGGATGAATCTTTAAACTGGTTTTTTTAGTACACATATTGCCAAGTGCAGTTGTTTCAAAGAAAAAGAGAAACATTTTTCCTTGGGCTTAATTGTTCCTTTTTTCTCCTTTTAAAGGTTTGGAGACACCTCACTGCAAGAAATAATTAACATGGAAAGCTTAGTGAGATTGAATTCATATTTTGAGCAGTTCAAGGAAGTTTTGCCTGATGATTGTAAGTATTTTGTAATTAATGACAAATTTGCTTGAACGGCACAATTCAGGCTGATTTTTTCATTTGTTTGCTTTATGTTGGTTTTTTAAATGTTGATGGTACGCCAGCTTTAATAACTTCCAGGAAACGATACAACTCTGTTTTAATACTTTAGTACTAAAGCAGAGTGGATTCAAGAGCTTAAAGGTCAGACTGATTAACTTTCCTTTTTAAGGTTACTTTTACATCTCTTTCTAAGTGCACTATGCACTGTATAATCATCCAGTTAGGCAGTGAGATTGTTGTAAGGTAAAGGTGTAAAAGTGACAGGTTCTAGCAGCAGCACTTTTACCTGCAGTTTTTGGTGATGCTCTCTGCACTTATGATAAAACCTGCACAGAGAACAACTGCCAGTTTTTTGGAACTCAGTCACTTCCCTCTGTTTTCCTTTGGCACTTCCCTGTAATTGTTGCATCTGCAGCCAACAACAGAGAGCCTGGAAGAGTGACAAAAGCTACATGCTTAATTTTTACTGGTGTTTTAATTGCTTGTTACTGCTTGGGGTTTTATTGAGAAGGCAGTGGCCATAAGTGTTATTTACAAAAATAGTGAAAATTCATAAATTCTTTATTATTACAATCAAACCTCTTCTAAGGTTATTTCATGTGCTCTACAGTTACAATTTTTTTCCAGAAATACAAATGCAACAGCATGCAACAGGATAGTAAGAATTCTGTCTGTTAAAGTGTGTAATTGCAAGTTTGGTTACTTTGAATTTTTTTTGATACAGCTGTGAGCAGAACCTGCTTCCCTCCATCCAGGCATTCATACTGCTGCATAATAAATTCTCTGGAATGTTAGCTGTGAAGTTTAATTTTTTATTGTATAGTAGTCTAGCATCAGATTTTCTTGTATGATTCAAAAATTAACCAGTTTAAAATGAATTTTGTTCATGTATCTGTCTAGTCTTTTATAATAATAATTCCCATTCAGGTCCTTCCTCTCCTTTTTATTTGCTTGCCTTTTTTTTTATTTTTATTTCAGTCTCTTCCCTCTTCCGCAAACCTCTTATGTTTGATCCAATCATCTTTTGGCTTTTTCTTTTTTTTTTCTCCTGAAAGTTGTGATAATTTAGGATATACAAAATGAATAGTGCTTTTCTGTGAACCCTTATCAAGGAAGAATAGCATTTTACATTTAACTGCAAACCAGGTGATTATGCCTAATTATGTAGTCTGTGGTAGGTAGAGGCAAAAGGAAAAACAAACAGATCATTCTAGGGGACAAAGGTCCCAGTGAACTATCTGCTGGAAGATTGCAGGAAATTTTCTCTTCAGGAGCACTACACAAGAAAAGTTGATTCCTTATCCACTGTCCATGTGTCTGTGTTATTAATTCTAAACTCTGCAGAATTTCTAAGAAATAGTCTTAGCTCCTTGTCCTTGTTCTGTTAGCTCACCTTGTCTTTAGAGAGAGGAGATGGCCTGTGCCCTCTTTTTGTTTACTGGTATTGGTTTCTTTCTAGATGTAGAAATCAAACAGCCCAGCCCAGGACAGGCACAGTATTGTTAATTATAGAATAGAAATGTAGAATTGTTTAGGTTGGAAAAGGTCTTTAAGATCATCAAGTCCAACTGTTTCCCCAGGGCTGCTAAGTCCACTCCAAACTGTCTCCCCAAATGCCACAACTCCACATTTTTAAAATACCTCCAGGGATGGTGACTCACCACTTCCCTGAGCAGCTTGTTCCATGTTTGACAACCCTTTCAGTGACGAAATATTTCCCAACATCCAATCTAAATCTCTCCTGGTGCAGCTTGAGGCCATTTTCTCCTGTCCTGTTGCTGGTTGCCTGGGAGAAGAGCCCTGCTGGCTTTCAGGTGATTGTGGAGAGCAGTAAGGTCCCCTGAGCCTCCTTTTCTCCAGGCTAAACAGCTGCTCCTTCAGCTGCTTCTCATCAGACTTGTGCTCCACACCCTTCACCAGCTCTGTTGCCCTTCCCTGGACACCACTGAGGTTGCAGCACCTGGATGTCCTTCTTACAGTGGAGGGCCCAGAAATGAGCACAGGATTTGAGGTGTGGCCTCACCAGTGCTGAGTACAGGCCACAATCCCTGCCTTGCTCCTGCTGGCCACACCATTGCTGATCCAGGCCAGGTCACCATTGGCCTTCTTGGCCACCTGGGCACCGCTGGCTCATGTTCAGCTGCTGTGGACCAGCACCCCCAGGTCCCTTCCCAATGGGCAGCTTCCCAGGCTCTCTGCCCCAGCCTGTAGCACTGCCTGGGGTTGTTGTGAGCCAAGGGCAGGATCTGGCACTTGGTCATGCTGAACCCCACAAAAGTGGCCTTGGCTTATTGATCCAGCCTGTCCAGATCCCTCTGTAGAGCTTTCCTGCCCCCCAGTAGATCAGAACTGCCGCCCAGCTTGGTGCCACTGAGTGAGAGTGCACTTGATCCTCTCCTCCTGATCATTGATAAGGATTTTAAACAGGACTGGCTGCAGAACTGAGCCCTGGGGAGCCACACTGGTGACCAGCCACCAGCTGGGTGTAGCACCATTCACCAGCACCCTGTGGGCCTGGCCATCCAGCTGGGTTGTTTTACCCAGTGAACAGAATGTCCCACCAAGCCATGAGCACTTAGTCGAGGAGAATGCTGTGGGAAACAGCAATAAAGGCTTTGCCAAGGTCCAGGTAAACAACATCCACAGCCTTCCCCCATGTGCTCAGCAGGTCACCTTCCTCTAGGAGATCAGGTTAGTCCAACCTGAGACTTTGCTGTGAGAAGTAGGCCTAAAATAAAGCCTCAGGTGTCACTCATGTAGGATTCTTTTTGTCACAATGTTATCTCTTACAGTGCATACCTCTGTATTTATTCAGTCACAACTTTAGTTGGTGTTCTCTGTGGTTACTCCTTTAAAAAAAGAGAACTTGTTAAATACTTGTAATTGATTGTCTGGAGTATCTTGCTACATGTGTAAGAGATCATGTGCAACAGTTTGAACACAGAAGATGAGTACTGAAGGTACTCTCAAAAATTTCAACTACTTTATTTCTACTTAGTGAAATATTAATAAACAGAACATGACAATGTGGTGTCCTGTGGGTGTTTCTTGTAACTGAAAGCTACCAGCTTGCAAATTTAAAATCGAAAATGTGAGCAGAATATAAAATATCTTCAGAGTTTCTCTGAAGTCATGCATGTTCTCCTGTCAAATCTGAAATGAAAAGACGATACCAATCTTGCTCCCTTTGTTCATTCTCTTATTATACTGCTATTAGATTCTGAGTCCCTGAAGTTTTAAATAACTGGAATTTATATTTCCAATTGAGTTTATTAGACGTGATTTTGTTTTGTTGATGATACTAAGTAAATCAGAACTTGAATAATTTTTCCAGTTTCAAGAAAACACAAATGTGTTTGCAACAGGCATACAGAAACACTTTGTAAAAGATCTGTTGAATACAGATAGATAAGTGGAGTTGATTTTGTTTACTTTATAGGTCTACCTCGATCTCGTAGTCAGACGTGCCTGCCTGAACTGTTAAGATTTCTGGGACAAAATGTTCATGCAAGGAAAAACAAGAATGTTGATATCCTTTGGCAAGCTGCTGAGGTATTTATTCATCTAACCATCTCTGCATAGTTCAGCTGATTTTCTGTATTCATATGTATTTGCCCCTTTTTTATTACTAGAATGTTTGAATTTCTTCATTTGCTTGCATGTAGCTTGCAAATGCTGCCGGGCTAGACCTTCTCTAGAATGAGACATGGGGAAATAAAATGTATTTTCCATGTCAGATTTTCCCCTCAACTCATACAATGACGTTCTGCTCCCTCAAACATGCCAGACTTTGACATTGAAGCCCTAGAGAACATTTGTGTGTGTCTGAGGGGAAGTACAGGTGTTGTCTCTGGCAGGAAGTTTTGCCTGTAGAAGGAGTGATGGGTTGTCTGTCCCATTTCCAGATATGCCGCAGACTCAACGGGGTTCGGTTCACGAGCTGTAAGAGTGCCAAGGATAGGACTGCCATGTCCATCACCCTGGAGCAGTGTTTGATCCTACAGCATGAACATGGAATGGCTCCACAGGTCTTCACTCAGGCTCTGGAGTGTATGAGGAGGTAAGAGTTTGACCACATTGCTTATTCCTAAATAAGGAACCATGCAAACTGCAGAGGACTGATGGTCTCTGTTTCCATCAAAAGAAAAAAAAAAAGTAAGCTAAAGTCAGGAAACTGTAAAACTGACTGCTAGAATTCATCCCTCCCATGCTTGTGAGTTGCATATGCTAAAGCTGATTCTTACCAGATTTATATGAGATGGGCTTGAGATTTCAGTAGAAAATCAGGAGTTTTCAGACAAGCATGTAAAAATATGTTTTCCATTAATGCTGAGCTTACAGAACAGGAAACTGGTGCTTCTTTGAAAGTTGTTTAATGATTACTTTACCTGAACTGTCATAGCACTAGGTTTCTTAGTTCTAGATCAGGGAGATTACTGTTTTTTGTTCTTTGAAACACAGACACCTGCAGTTTGCACTGGTTTGCCAGTGTATCCTTTAGCAGTGAAACACTGCTCACTGGGTGAAATGTCAGTATGAGTGTTTCACACTATATAGCAACCAAATTTCATCACAACGTGTCAGTGTGCTGTTGTCATATCAAAATAATGATGTTCTGTATTCTGAAGCAGCAGAGATGTTTGCAGAATTAAGTACTGTACTTAAAAAAAAAATCTGTTTACTGTTGTTCAATGCCTTGTTTCAAGCACTGCTGGAAAACTCCGTAAGTCACATACCAAAAGAAAGGATAAGAAATCTAGCTTTAGTCTTTATCAATGTAGTTCAACAATGCTGTTCAGTCCTGTTTTTCAACATTCACTCTTATCAAATGTACTGTACTCGTGTGTCTTTTCACCAAATTCTCTAGAGTGTTCAATTCTCTTATCCTTTCTGTATGTTTTTGCTGTTTGACCCTTTCTTACTCTTCAGTTACCTAGAAGAAAAATGTCTCATATAATAACACTTGCAGCCTCTTACACTAGTAATCTGGGGGTTTATACCTGCATCTAATTGGGTGGCACTGGACTTTTTTATTTTCAATTTTTTGCTGCACTTTTTGCTACATTGTCACAGAGTTAGTACAGTACATGAAAAGTGCACTCAGAAACTACTTAAACCTTGATATTAGAAACAAAACTTGAAACAGCTTTGTGAGGGAGAATTTACTAACTTAAAATGGACTAAGTGGTTCTCAGACATCTTTATTTAAATTGTCCAACTTGTTGACATAGACATCTGAAACTCTTGCACAGTTTCACAGTTGTGTATTTAATAAGAGTAAAACCAACTAGGAGAAATACTGGGAATCTTGTTACTTTCTTCAAATTCTTTACAGGGTCACTGGGTTTTTTTAATGCAATCATGGACAAATCGAGAGAGAGAGAGAGAGAGAGAGGTTAATAATAACATTGTTTTGGTCCTTCAGTCTACCAATTTAATATAACACAGGATCAGATAAAATACTGACCCAAGAAAATTACTGCTTTGTGTTGAGCTACACAGGGATATTGAAGGAGAGCCAATTTAATCAAAACCTTTGGCTTGAGTGTTCTACCAACATCAGGGACTTGCTCTGGCAGGTGAAGGACATGACTTTTTCTTCTGCTAAATCTTTGACTAAGAGAGATTGTGCAAGACAAATACTGACTTGTCCAGAAGGAAAACCAAGATTAGACCATTCTTCAAACCCATCACTCTTCCTCTTATTGCTCTTTGGGATAGGTGGTCATATTTTTAAAATTATTTGTTAATTCCACTCAGGAACAATGGCACAGAATTAATAAAGCATAATGAGAGAGACAAGGATTATAGAACAAATATGTAGGAGTCCAACTCCACCAAATCCCATTCCAGCCTGGACCGTTTCACCTGACTTAGACGACAGATACAGGTTAAAAAAGGGTAGCAAATTGTACCCAGATTGCTTCCAGAGCATTCAGAAAGCTTGAATTTTGTTCTTTTAACTTGGGTCTTTTATTTAAGTGTACTGGAAAAGCAAGGTTTTGTTCATTCTTAAAGACTTTTGAAGTTTCTGAGGCATTTGGAAGGACAGGGTAGAAGCACTAGTAATTTGTGAGACTCAAAGTATTTAATCTCTTTTCTACTGACAACTTTCCAGAGAAGAAAAACATCTTTGCTTATACCAGTCTTCAAAAAATTAGGAAAGCATCATCTTCTTCCATGTAATGTTGGTCTTCAGAGGTGTTAGTTCCCACTTACTTGTCCTCAGGGACTTCCCTTCTTTCCCAGTCTTGTGATAATTATGTGTCTGTGATAATTATGTTCAATGAGCAGGGACATCAGGAAGGAAACATTGAATGTTCTTCTAGATTCGTATAAAAATTTACAGAAACAAGTTTGTGGCTTTCACCTTAGAAACCGATACCCTATTACAATAAAGTCATTTTCTGTAAATAAGTTACAGCCTTTCCAGTCCCAAATCAAACACACAGTAACTCCCAGCTCACAAATAGTAAAATCATGATGATATGACTGGAATTCCAAGCTAAGAGGACATGGCTACCTGACCAGTAAAGTCAGAACAAGAGTCAAAGTCCAGCTGGCTCAGGTTGTCTCTTCCATCTGCAGCCCACATTCCCCTCTAGATCTTTGAGTGCCTGCCCTCCCTCTTCCTACTAGATTTCTGTCTTGCCAGAAATGCCAGTGGAGCTGTTTGTGGGAATATGCTCTAAGGCAGTTGCAGTCAAGATCATTCTGGGTAGCAAAATCCTTTACATGTTTTGGGTAGCCCAGCTCATTTTCATTAAATGAAATTAATTAGGAAGGTGCAACACAAACAATTTGGCCAACAGAGAAGGGCCATCTCTGGTAGGAGCTCTTGAACAGCAGCTGGAAATGAGGTGAGGAAAATCACCATGGTGCTGACTAAAATGATTACATAATAAAGTCCTAGGAATCATGTTTGAGTATGACCACTCATGAAATAGAACAGCTATGATAACAGTCTTGATTGGATTTCTTCACTAATTGACCTGCTTTAAGAATAAAATCATATTAAGTTGAGCCAGACCACTTAGCAGATGACCACCCAGCTGTTCCCTACTTTCCCCCAACAGGACAGGGGGGAAAAATATGTGAAAAAGCTCATGGGTTGAAATAAAGACAGGGAGATCCCTTGCCAGTTACTGGTACAAAACTGGCAAATCAGACTCAGAGAAATTTTTTTTATTTATTTCCAATGGATTGGAGATGTTAAGAAATAAATATGAAAATTTAAAAACCTTGCCCTCCACCTCCCAAATGCAAGCTAAAGTAGAAGGGAAATTGCTCTGTCTCCTAACCCTAGAGCTAGTCTGCTGATAAATGTTTTGATTTAAGACCCTGTACAATTTGGAATATTTGATATTTCCAAAAGGTGACTTTTCACCTGTCAGGGGGAAGCATCTTTATGGGGCCAACAGTGACAAGGAATGCGCTTTCCAGCTCTTGCCTCCATTCCCACCATATGTGTCTGTGTATATGTCTTTGTGTAAAATTGAGTAGCATGATACTAATTTTTAGTGGTGGGGATGTGGCATGTGGTGTTCATAATGCCAGCTTAGCATTTTTAGCCCTTCTTTACCTCTCCAAGTGTTGTACATTTTCTCTATATTCTAAAACACTTTTCTTCCTCCAGGCCATTTCATTGAGGCTTTATCCACCACTTTCCAGTAAACACTAGGTTTCCACTGGCTGATTGTCATGATCACACACACACTCTCCCCATTTCTACAAAGAAATTGGGATTTGTAGGCATCACAGATTCAATCTAGCCTTGACCACTGGGCACCAGGAGTGAAAACATGTCTTCATCGCCAATTTGGATCAAATCCAGATCAGAAATCCAGATCAAAACAGTTGGTTTAGTTCCTTGCCCACCTAATTCCATTTGGCTTGATGTGTCACCGGCATCTGAATGCATCTTTTTCACCACCTCCAGGGTGTGTCTGATTTCTTGCAGGACATTGTCTTATGCTTACATAACCCTGCTACTCAACCATCAAGGTTATGGATGGTTTGTTATGGGTGGAGCAAGTGCACAAGCTTGAGCAGCATCAGGCTTACAGATTGCATTTAGAATCACAGAATCATAGAATTGTTTGAGTTGAAAGGGACCTTGAAGATGATCTAGTTCCAACACCCCTGCCATGGACAGGGACACATTCAATTGAACCTTAGACCAGGTTTGCTCAAGGCCCCATCCAGCCTGGCCTTGAACACTCCCAGGGATAAACATCCCTGGCTGCCTCACCATCCTCAGAATAAAGAATTTTTTCCTTATATTTAATCTAAACGTGTTCTCTTTCCCTTTTAGCATATTCCCCCTTGTCCTGTCACTACATGCTTTTGTAAATAATCTCTCTCCGTCTTTCCTCTAGTACTAGAAGGCTGCAATACCATCACCCCTAAGCCATCTCTTTTCCAGGCCAAATAAATCCAATTCTCTCAGCCTTTCCTTGTAGGAGAGGTGCTCCATCCCTCTGTTCATCTTGGTCATTTAGTTGTTGCTTTGTAAACTAAAAATAGAGTTGGAGTGCTCAGGGTATAAGAGTGATCCAGACTTGGAGACCACACTACAGAGCCAACCAGGCTACCTGGGGAGCTGCTCTTCACTGTGGCCTTTGGTGCTCAATGTAAGGAGTGGGTGCACAATGAGATGGGCTTTGCAGCATGTCTTCAGAAATAAGCCTATTGATATATCCTTGAATTCATGTCCAAGCAGAAAAATAGGTGGGTGGGTTTTTTTGGCTTTTTTTTTTTTAATTAAGGTGTTGGAAAGGTAGTTAAGAGGTTAAATTAAGTCACTACAGCCCACATGGAAAGATGTTTGAAAGGGTCAAATACTACAATGGTTATTCATGTTCAGCTTGCTTTTCAGAGCTCCACTTCTTTGCAGCACGCCAAAGCATGGCAGAGCAGCATGGGGTATTGTTGCTTGGTAATCTGAAAGAATGAACATGGAAAACCATTAATGTTCAACCTACATGTGTTTATTTTCACTAGACTACAGTACTTCTTTCTTATTTTTCTCTTTTATTCTCTTTCCCTCTCCTTATTTTTATAACTGTACTGATACATATTTTTGAGATGTTTTTCCACTCTTTCTTTACTTCATCTTCTGGTTCTGTTGTGCGTTCTTCCATGTTTTTTCATTTTCTTGACCACCTTGTGTTGCCATCTCTTTTTATCCATCCATTTGCATGTCTGTCTTCCGTTCTGTTTTATTTTCCCTCTTCCCAAACTTCTTCCTTTTCACAGCATTGGAACACGGGAGATAGTCACCCAGAAGAACTTGAGTGGCTTGGTGCCCATCCGAGATTTCAGACTAGATCCCAGCCTCCTCTACTCTATTCCTTTACTAGCTCTCAGCCCCAATTTACTGATTGTGTGGCTGTTTCTGAGCATAGCATACCTGGTGGCCAGATTACGTTGCAAGTGAAGATAGAGTTCAAAAACAAAAAAAAAAGAAAAAAAAGAAAAACAACAAAAACCCACAAAAACAAAAAAGTGCTTGAATGTGTATTGCCACTTGGTACCTGCTGGACAAAGGAATGTGTCATAGCATTGTCTGCCAAGAATTATTATTATGCCTTACAATTTTACGTTTCTATTGTACTAAACTGTAAATATACATCAAATTATTTTATCCAAAAACAGTTGTATTGAAACTTTAAATTATTGTTCTGCTTTCAGTGCTTGTAACATAGTCTGACATTGGCCTGTTACCTCTTTACTTTAGCCGGCCTGAAGATCTCTTACCAAATACAGTTTTGTGTTACTTGTTTCATGTATTCCAGAGAAAGGAACTCTGTCTGAAAAGAATTTGTATCTTTTTGTATATTTAAGGTGTATGCTAACCTTGCCTTTCATTTTTACGAGGTACGAAGAGAAAAATAAAAACATGGGTGGGGTTTATAAGAAATTGTAAGAAATTTATTTAAAGAAGTAACAAATTTATACTTTCATTTAAAAGCATAATATCCAAATTACATTATTGAAGTTTGTAGAAACATAGTTTTGTTCCTTTCTCATGGTTAAATATATTCTAATAGACTAGAAAACACTCATAAAACAACTTGCAGTGTGCTGCATGCAGAATTATTTCATTCTATTTGTAGATCTGCATTTTGCAATGTATTAAAGACATGAGGAAAATGAACCTTGTGGTTAGGAAGGGGATGTGACTGGCATTAGCCTGCTAATGATCCATTATCTATTTTAGGTGCTCTGTTATAGAACTTACTGTGAAATATGGGCATCCTAGAAGTTAAAGATAGTGGTCTTTAATTTTCAGGCAAGAAGTGGGAGGTTTCAGTTAACTCCTTTAGTAGATGGGTTTCAGGTTTTCCACTGGGCTTTATTTTGATTACATTAGACTAAATATTACTGTTACTTCCATTTTTAAGCGTTGCACAGCTTTAATAAATTATGATGCTGATAGTGGCTTAGTGATAAGCGAGCAATGGCAAGTTAGCATTTATTTAAGTGATGAGGCTGAAGTGGCTTCCTAGTTTAGTGATGCAGAGTAATTGCAGATGAAATTTGATCATCATTTATATATAACATCAAACTAGGGGAGGCCAATTTAAATGGAAAGATTTTCTTGATGCTGTGGTCTGGCAGAGCTTGTCAATAGCAATAGCTGATAAAAAAACTAACCTCATTTAATGTAGTTTGATAACTTCATAAGGGGTTTTACTTCGCTTGGTGCCTGAGATGACATTGGGCTTCTGAGGAGAACTAGTACTGTGATTTGTATTTTCTACTATTAACTTGCTCAAAAAATATAGATAGCTTTAGCTTTTATTATAAATTTTAATGGAACTGAGAGCTGCTGAGAGAAATATGCTGAAATAAAAAAAAAAAAAGTATAAAAGCACAGTTAGAATAAAAATCAGAATTAAATCCTAAATTTGGATTTAATTATTCTAACTAAAAAAAAAAATTGTGTGGTTATATTTGTGTCTTCATGAAATCAGACTGTGCAGTACACTATCTCTTAATATTTTTCCTCACTATTCTTCCAATTTTGTTTTTAAAGGAAAAAAAAACCAAAAAAACAACACAAAGACATATATGCTTATCTATATATATAAAAAGCACGTATTATATTAATTTTTAGTTGCAATGAGTTTCAGTACATTGGTGCATCCTCACTGCTGTTGAGGTTTATCATGCTGTGGTGGTTTGGGACACATCCCTGTGCTGTGCTGATACCTGATGCTGCTGTGTCTCCACAGAAATCATCTGTTCTTTATGGTTAGCACTGGTTTGTCTGCTGGGGGTGCCCCAGTCTACCTTTTTACAAGGTGAGCAGTTGTCAGGTTGGACTGTGGCCTTGATCTTGCAATGTGGGGGTGTCTTGGGTTCAGTCTAACCAGATGTGAAAGGAACTTCAGAATCACAGAATCTCCTGAGCGGGAAGGGCCAAGGATCAGTTCCTGGCTTGCCACAGGCTGTGCTGAGAGCGCTGTCCGAGCCCTTCTTGCATTCTGCCAGGCTTGGGGCCACAAACACCGCCCTGGGCAGCTGTTCCAGGGTGCAGCCACACTCTGGTGGCAGGCACATCCACTGAGCTCCCTGAGATTGTTAATCTGTTTAAAGTGTGAAGGTGCTGCTCATGATTACCACTAGGGTTGCAGTAAGACCACCTTAAAACTGTTTGGAATGAAAGCCCAGGCTTCTTGGAAAAAAATGTAGGTTTTTTCTTTTTCATTTCAATGGGAAAAAATTTGGGGCTTTTTTTTCCCTTTTGGGGCCTGGTCTGTGCTTTTGTTAAGGCATTCAGATTTAAGATGCAGTACTGCATCCTCCTTATATATTTCCAGGACAAGGAAGATGGCATGTGAAATGTGGGCAATAAATCCTTGTCACTGTATCTGTGCCATGAGGGACACATGCAATAACCAGATGCAGTGAAATGTGATATGAAGAGAATGATTCACTTTGCAGTTAAAATGCTCACCTAGCATTACATATTTGCTAGTTAAACTTACTGCTTTTATTAGTTCTCTGAAGTATGAGTTGTGCAAACTTTTGATGTATCTATTTGGCTGCAAGAGCCATCGGGGGAGTTTTGTGAAACACAAACCAGTGCCAGAAAAACAGTGTCATCACAGATGATCCATTCTATAAAAGGCAAGCACAGAATGTGCTCCAGAGACAAATTTCAAACTTAGTTAAACTATTCCTTAAAGTAAAGAAAAAAAATTACTGTATTTTATGAAGTTAAACTAGGTATTACATACAGAACACAGTTACAGCCAGTTTCATGAACCAAAATTAGAAGAATGGTGAGGTCTGTAAGAGCACGAGAGCTTTCAAACTGAACCAGAATCCAAACCCTCCTTTTGAATCAGATGATCCCAGCTTACCTGGTAGATGCTGCAGCTGTCTCCAAGACAGGACTAATCTGACATTTCCACCATAAGATGCTGTACTGTACACTTTGCCATGAAGGTCTAGTTGTCATTGTTTAGGTTCCAGTCCTCAATCAGGGATAATAATTCTCCTGCAAGCCTAAATTGATTTATAATATATATTTAAAAGATAGTGCTTCCTCTTTGTATGTCTGTTTTTTGGATATAATCAAAGGAACTGTGGATTAGATTTACAAGTGTAAAGAAGCCTTATAACTGGAGTAGTTTTCTATTGTAGCACAGAACCTCTTTGTAATGTGGGGCAGTTGCACCAAAATATTGGGTGAAAATTAAATTCTGCACAGCTTTGTTTCTTTGGGGTGATGATGCAGCCAGTCTTTTTTGCACTGCTATTTCATGATTAGGATTTTTTTAGATTGCCTTGGTTTTCATGTCCATTTATGCATGCAGAGATAACTAGAAAGGCATACATTATTTTTGTATCAGCTCTAATCTTTAAGTAAATACTTATAATACTGATATACAGGGAACAATAAAATTACTTTAAAGCTCTTATAGAGAGATCAGCAGGTTTTGGTTTTCAGCTTTATGTGCTAATAAATTAGCAGAACTGCTTTTAAGCAATCCCTTGGGATCCCTTGTGCAGTGAATGGCATGTGAACTCCTCAACAGTGTACCTTGAAATACATGAAACTGGCGTGAAAGAGCCTTTTCAGTAGATGTGCTGCTGCTTTCTAGAAATGCAAAACTAGCAATCAGACATAGCTTGTGTCCATTCTGTGTGCTTCTTACTGGCATTGTATGATGAATCATCTCTTTTAATATTTGCAGTGGCAAATTAATTAAACGCTCATTAAATATAACCAACTTTATTTTAATGCTATAAAATAACCAGTTCATTTCATCTTAGTTTAAGTCTTTTTTCTTTTTTTTTCCCTTTTACTGCTGTCATTTTTTGTGCTTGTTTTTTTCCCTAGTGAGGGTTGTCGCCGAGAAAATACAATGAAGAATGTTGGATGTCGCAAGTATGCATTTAATTCCCTGCAACTGAAGGCTTTCCCAAAGTATTACAGGCCTCCAGAAGGAACTTATGGAAAAGTTGAAACATAAGCATACCATGTCCTTTAATTGCTGTTCCATTAAAACATGTGGATACACTCTAGATTAACACATGATTTTGTCATCCAGAAGAGATAAATAACCTTTTTGTATGTTTCATTAGGTCATACAGAGCATGTTACTGAATTGGAATCTATAGTAACAATTATTCTGACACCTTAGCTTGAGAATAGTGTGATGACTCTCAATAGCCTTCAGTGTATGTAAGATGAGCAGATACTGTGCTACTTAATAATTACCTATATGCAAATAGCTAGGTACCTCCTGGATGGGCAAGGACTCTAGGAACGGCATTTAGGCAGCTGTTTCCATAACATCTTTTTATACTGAGTTGATTTCAGATTGAGCTTTTCCTAAACTTTTTAAAACTGAGAGTAAAATTCAAAAGTTGTAAATAAAAAGGATCCTAGACAGTTTAGTAACTGTAGAACGCATTGTTACAATCAATAAAAGGGGGTTTGATTAAAAAAAAAAATCAGCACAATAAGAGCCAGGAGAAAGAATTGTTTTACTGTATATAGGATGCCACCTTCATGTATGAAATTAACAATATATAAAAGGCCACTTGTATATATAAACCAGACATGTGAGGTCTGGTTTATAATTCAGTTCAAATAAAAGAAATTCCTGTCATCTTTGGCCGATAAGGCCTTGGGCACACTTTTTTTAAAAGTATTTCAGAAACATCATGATGCTTAACTATTAATGCCAGCAACAGTTCCCCATGCCCTTCCCCACTCTAAGGCAAGTGCAACAAGCAAATTGCTGATGTTGCACATGACATGTTCAGTATATTCCATGGTGTTGTACATTAATTAACACATTTTTACCCATGGGTTTTTTATATCACTTCTGGATTGTAAGCCTCAGTATCTCGGGGCGTTACGTTATTTTGGTCAGCATACGATTTTCCTGTATTGGTTTTGTATGTCATTACCAAATGTCTCAAAGTGCCCAATGCATCCCCTTTGCTCCAAAATCAAAATTGGGTTCTGTTTACCTTTGCATTTCACCTGTTGAGAGTCCTGGTGGGGGAAAGTGTGGCCGGTGTCAGGGTATTTCTGAGGAAGGTAGCAATGCCCTGTGTCGATAGAGGGGAACTGCTCAGTGCTACTGCTCGTGCCTGAGAACCACAGGTGGGTTCTAGCTTATGACAAAGGTGGTCAGTTGGATAGCATATGATAAAAAATGTTCAACAGATCTCCTCTGAAATAATCTCCCAAAGAATGCCTTTGAAGCTAAGATAGCATTTTAAAAAGCAGCTAAATGTTAATTTCCAAATTTTAACAGGATCCAGTAATCTCTAGCTAGTTTCATTCAGCACACTGTCCTTTCCTTCTTGGTTCCTAAAAATCTGAGTTTTAGAATAGAAAAAATCTGCCCATTTTTTCTTGGGGGAGTAGCAACAGCCAGGTAAGTATATGGCTGTTTTCTGATTTCTTTCTCCCTCTCACTGATGTTTGTCTGTGCTGTCACTGCTCTATCAATCAGCCATGTTCATTCTGCTCCCATATAGGTTTGGGGGTTACAGGTCCAGCAGTTTTTGCATTTTGCTTTTTGCAGTTTAACACTGAGCAGCATGTCACAAAGCCAGGTCAGAGAGTTCTGCTGAACTAGGCTGTTACCATTATTTTAGACTCTTTAGGATAACAAAACATGGAATTCTTTGCAAAAGCAATGTATTGTAGTACCTACCCCAGGTCTGAACAAATCATCTGCAGTAGAACGGTCACTCGGAAATGTTGCAAACCTTGTTAGCCAATTAATGAGTGTTGATTTTATTTTTTTGCTAATATGTAAAGAAATATGTGATGAAACATTTTTCAGTGGGATCTCTGTAGACATGCTACTCCATTAGTTCTGCTCAGCCTTCAGTCCCTGGCCCATTATGAAATGCTACTTTATTTTTGTATGAACTATGCTCTTTATATCCCTTAGTTTTTATGAGTTCATAATTTTATGAGTTGATAATTTTATTTTGTCTATTTCAAACGTTGTTTATTTTAAGTCCTGTATTGTTACACTAAAAATCTCCCAATGTTCAGCTTCAGAAGGAAATAACAAATGTCTCTTGTAACAATTACCAGTGCCGCTCTCTTAGACGGTGGCCAACAATCATTAGACCTGCTGTAGAGCTTAGCAATCCTTTATTTATTTTGTATGGCAATGGAATCTGAAAATGTTGCTGAATTTTGTCTGGAGCCACAGCCCCGGATGCCGCGGGGCTGTGCCAGGTGCTGAGCTGCCAGCGCGGTGTCCCCTGGACATGGCACTGCCAGGATGGACATGGCACTGCTGGGATGGACATGGCACTGCCGGGATGGAATTGGCACTGCCAGGATGGACATGGCACTGCCGGGATGGACATGGCACTGCTGGGATGGACATGGCACTGCTGGGATAGCCATGGCACTGCCAGGATGGGCACAGCTTGGGCTCCTGCCGAGGGCAGCGCCGACAGCGAGGGCTCGACCGGTGCTCCAGAGAAAACTGTGACACATGAAGTCCACATGGGACCCTCACAAGGGGGAAGAGAGCTTTTCTGTTGCACAGGAGAGGCAAATCTAAGGATTACTGTAAAATGAAGTTCTGTCTAATGTTCCTTTTTTGAGTACATTTTTTAAATTATAAAACATACAAAGGTAAAAGAAGAAAACTGTTGCCAAGTATGTTCTGTGTATGTTCTGTGAAAGTACCTACAGCACAGTTGCCTTTTTTTCATTTATACGTGTAAAATTATTGTATTATATGACACAGTTTTGTCCCAACACGACTGTATTTGCTATGCTTTGTGCATTGAAATATTTTTATTTATTTGGTTTTGGGCAGTATTAATATATCATAAACATATGGCTACTGTTTTATATATTCTAGTTCATCCAATCCATGTATGCTGTAAATGTGCTAGTCTTTAGGATGAAAACCAATAAAGAACTGACAAGAATAACAATGGTGGCTTACTTTTAATATGTCTGTGGTAAGTGAAAGTAAACACTTTCAGGCTCCTTGACTTGACACACTTTTATCTGTTGGAGAGCACATAAAGCCAAGTTTTGTAGGGAGTCATTTTACACAGATGTGCAAGTCAGGAAGTAGTTACTTCTCAGCCCTGTAAAAAACAGCTGATGCCAATTTTCTGTAGTTAAGTGAGGCACCAGCTTGTCCCACATGGTGTGCATTGTGCAGCAGCAGTTAAGTAAAGAAGTGATATGACATATTCTTCTTCCTTAATTTTACCTACTTCCTCTGTGAATATTCTGTAAGAGCTTCCTGATCTTTGTTCTCTGTTCTTTCACTTTTCCTTCCATTAGCAGATTTTTTTCTCTGCTGCTGCTTCCCATTGAGCCAACTCATCCCTCCAAGCAGCTTTAGCAGTTGTGCTGCTTTTCAGCAGGGACAGATTGTCCTTGTTGATTGTCATTTTGATTTCAAATTAAATAAAGTTTATATAATAGTGTAACAGACAATAATTCAGAGCATTCCGATTTCTGTAAAAAATGAAGAATAGAACACAAAAACAGAACTCTGTTTCCACTGGGAGTTTGGGCACTGCCAAATAGAATTTTCTTTGTGTGAAAGAGGGCTGAGGAGCATTAGTGGAGCTCAGTGATTTGGTTTTTTTGTTATATAAAAGGAAAAACAATAGACGATAAAAACCCACACTGCTTTCATTCAAAATGCAGGAGAAGAAGATGCTTGACAGGTAGGAATTCCTGAACTGCAAATGCAAAATCAGATGCATATATAAAAAAATATATACACAGATTTTAAAACTTCTAATTGGTGTTCAAAAAGTATCTACCAGTATTATTCTTGATTTTAAAAGATGGGCTGTTTAAAAAAATGGGTGAAAATCTGACATCTTTAGAAGGCATTCTGAGCTATCGGAAGTGTCCCATGTTTGAAGCTGGTGAAGGTGTTTCCATAAAGATTGCTCCATGTGGAGCCCTGGCCATGACTCTGGGTTCCCTGGGCACTGGGGCTGTGTGAGGGCCCTGTGTGCCTGTGGGCTGTGAGGGATCCCATGGGGAGCTGCTGGGAGCAGCAATGACCACGGGCCCTGCTCTGGAGCAGAATTCCATCTCTCCCCATGACTTCTGCTGCCCTTCAGGCACGGCTGGACGTGCTGGTACAGGAGTCTGTGTACAGGTACCAGCAGCACTTCTGAAGGGGTTACCTGGTGCCACAGATGTGCTTCAAGTCTGAAACATGTACTGTGCCAAAAGAGAGGAAATATTCATAGATAAAACACAAAAAATGCATGGCAGAATAGAAAACCAAGAAAAAATAGCAAACCACTTGTTTAAACTAGAGAAAGAATCCTCATCAGAAGAAGCTGTATGTAATTTTGGTGACCAAGTGTGAACTTTTTCCACCTTTTTCAGTTTGTGAATTCCTAAATATATCTCAGACTTATATCTTTGTGAAACTTTGTGTCTATATATTGTTGCTGACTGCAAGTGGGTTTGTTTAAAATATCTCTTCCCAATGAACGACAAGACTTCTAGGCAATGAAGGGGAAAACATAACAGCAACCTCTTTTTATCATATTGCTTTAAATGTCAGGAGAACATTCTCTCCCAGTTAATGAAATATTTTGCCCTTCACAATTCAGATGGATGCAGTTTATCCATTTATTCACAATGTGATTTGAAGAGGGGTAAGCAGAAAATGGTTGAGTAACAAGAGTGACTGACATGGACAGAGGGGTCACTGGGACCTTTCAGCCTGGACACCAGGAATGGCCAAAACCCTGCTCCCTGTGGGAGACTGCTAGGAGTGTGGTGGTAATAACACCAAGGTTGGGGGTTTCATCCCTGTATGGACCATTTGCTCAGGGGTTGGACTTGATGGTCCTGGTGAGCCCTTCTGACCAGAATGTTCTGTGATCCTGGGTGACAGACACAGCACACTGGGGAGGTTTGGGAGCACCAGGACCCAGCCAGGGGTTCCTACTTGTCCTCTTCCATCCACAGCCACCTGCACATTCCCACCCACTCTGGGTGTCCTGGCCAGCCAGGGAGGCCCCACAGCAGAGGCCACTGCCTTCCTCTGGTGGAAGGGAGGGAGGAAGGGAAGGAGGGAAGGAGGGAGGGAAGGAGGCCGCTGTGGAAGCAAGGCTGGCCTGGTGCCATGGTGCTCACACACATCCCCTCAAACATTGCTCCTCGTGGGCAAAGGCTGCTTGGCAGCACAGACCATCCCCTCTCCCACTGTGCAGCATCTCTTGTGGAAATGTGCTGGGACTGTAGTGTCATTTCATCTGGGAGTGAGAATCCTGTTGTAGTGTTTGTTGGATCCTGCACTTCAATGAAACAGCCTGAGGATCATGCTCTGGTTGCTGCCTATCATTTAGTTTTCCATTGGCCCAGCATATTGGTGGCACCTGCAATTTCCATTTTGAAACAGAGGCAAGTTGATCTTTGGGGTTCCTAAAATAAAAGCATTAAAACATGTTCACATGCAGGTAAGATAGCTTTTAAGTGCTCTTAGTATTTGTCTACAAATTGCTTGAATTGTAACCATGTCTCAAAATGCTGCTGTTAGCCTACAGTACAGATTTGAGAAGTTCTGAAATGCTATATGGAAATAACTCACTCTAGGTATTTCAAGGTGTTGATTGAATTGCCACCAACCAATGTTGGTGTCAGGCAGATGATGGCACCAGAGCCAAGCACTGAAATCACTGAGCTACCTGCTGCTACAGAAATGCTCTGAAAATGTTGATAAAATCCCCTTCATGTTTTAGGTTTGTAACAAACATGAGGTAAACATGCCTAGGTGTTTGAGAGACATCTGTCAGGTCTGGAATAGCATTCGTTAGCTACAACAGGATCTGTCCTTCTGATGGGTTTTTCTGTATTTTTTTCTGACAGCAGAACTCTCTCATTTGGGAGTATTCCTGCCCCCTTTTGTTCCTCTAAACATGGTGTTTCATTCCCTGTTCTTCATGTTGTGTTTTGATGAAATTTCCCCTGAGTGTGTCGGGACTTTCTTTCACAGCACATAAACTTTTATTTTTAATCAGCTTTTTAAGTGTGAACAAGTGGGGGTTTGAGTGGGTGTTCCCTTGAAATGCTGTGGCCCTATCCACAACTTCAGGGTCTGTAGGCAAATGGCTGAAGAGGAGTCTCTGACTTTTCTCAGTTCCTTGTTAGATTTAGAATTTCTCTCATGAAACTTCTAGCTCTTAAAAAAAAATGTGAACAAACTTTCTGTGTGGAAAATACAGATTTACAATACTTGTGTGGGATTAGTCTCTGGGAGTGGGTAACTTTGGAACACCTTTGTGACATGGCAGGAGCTAGAATGAAGTTTATTAAGAAGTATTAGCCAGAAGGGTGCTTATTTACTGAGGAAATGGGCAATGTTTGTGTTTCCTGTGTGTATCTAGATTGGTCCTGTGTGGTACCATTTTGTGGGGCAGACTCAGCACACAAAATCCAGCTGTCATCCTTGGCTGTGTGGCTGGATCTGCAGTGAGCTGCACACTCCAGATTCTGCTCCACTGCTCCATCACAAAAACTTTGCAAGAACCACTTGGACTAAATCTACAAATGACACTTGCAACCTACAGCTTGCCCAACCTGTAGATATCTCAGTTGCCTGATGAGTTTCCTAAGGCTTTCTATATTGAGAATTGCTGTAGTAGCAGGGAGCCCCTGAACGTGGAATAATGAGCATTGACTCCATGATTACAGAACACTGATCCATTGCTTTATTATTCTGTTCCTATCCTATCCTATCCTATCCTATCCTATCCTATCCTATCCTATCCTATCCTATCCTATCCTATCCTACATGAAAAACCCATTGCCCTTGCCAGACAGTCCAATACAGCTTTGACCTAATTGGTCAATCAATCAAAACACCATCACCAGAGTCCAATTAAGAAGGCACCTTTTGGTAAACAATCTCTATAACACATTCCAGATGTGCACAAAAACAGGTGCAGCAGGTGAGGATAAGAATTATTTTCTCTGAGCTTTCTCAAAGCTTCCCAGGAAAATCCTGGGAGAGAATGATGTCTCTCTCTGTTGAGAGTATATGTGATTACCACAGATTGCTAATGAGAAGTTTGTCAGTGGGATTCACCTCAGCCTGAGCTTCCCTCTCTCACAGCCCAGGGCTGGGAATAGAAACAGGGATTTGTACCTCTGGCTTTGGTGGCACAGCCACAGCCTTGCCCCAGCCACACTTGTCACACCTGGTTGAGAAATGAGGCCTTGGCAAGGTCCTCAAGAGCTGCCTGTTCCCTGTTCTCTGTCTGCATTGCAGTCCTCAGGAATCCATCCCCAGAAGGAATCCATCATCCTTCCCCTCCAAATCCTTGCTGCAGCTTCACTGCATCAGCTTTTGACAGGGTGCTGGAAACTGGGCTCTTCTTTCTCTGATTTTTGCTTCTCTCCCTTTCCCCCAGTCATCCTCAGACAGCAACTCCAAAAGCACCAGGTGGCTTTTTCAGTAAGGCAGTGAAGTGCTGCTGATTTGGGTTCTGAGAAATCACTGGGAATTTTACTGAGTGGAGAGGTGGGAAAGTGACTTCCCATTTTGCCAGGGGGATTGTCAGTGAGGCAGGCAGGATGAATGCCATGGGGCATTTCCAGGGACAAATGGTTTCTTAGGGTGAATTTATCCTAGGTTAGCTCCATGTTTCTCACAGTTTGGGGTGAAGGCAAGAAGCAGCCTCTTGTTTGCAATTCTGTGACCCAAATGTTCCCTCCATGAACGGGATTCCTGCACTGGGGCTTGCATTTCATGAGCAGTGCTGCTCTAATGGTGAGGCTACCCAGGGGCCAGAGAAACTCTGATTTTCTGGGTCCTGCTTGGACAGGTACAGAAATGAGAATTACTTAATTAAACAGGCAGCTAGCAGGTAAGATCCAGCAATCAAATAGATTCAAGACTTACCAACCTGAATTAGAAACATCAAAATGTCTGTGCTTTGTA